TTTTTTTTAAGTTATGAGTTTTGCTTAGTTAGAACAGACTCAGGGCATTAGTGATTTAGCCTTATCTAGTATCTGTGGGGGAGCTCTTGGGACATCTAGTGATACTAGGATTCATCCTGGAAGTCTCTCCTATTCTTACAGGCAGTTTACCCTTTTATTGTGTCTAGGCATTTTTGTGATTGGGGGTATTTTTTGCTCTATAGACAATTTTTCTGGGACATTTTGCTGGGGGTCTATTTTACCTTACTTTAGAGTTAACTGCGTTATTTATCCGTTGCCTTGTTCACTCTCCCTGTATCCACCTGGTCCTTTTCTTTTTCTGTGTATATAGAGCTACCACCCGGGATCCCCTTGTTTCAAGGGTCTCCTCTATGTTTACTTTTTATTCATTTGGTAACCTGGTTCCTGATTTTCAAAAAAGAAGACTTCTGATATCTTCCAAGGGACCCGAATCCTTAAACCCACATCTGATTGATGTTTCTGCTTCTAAAGTTTAGAGCCATCTCAGAAAGGTTCTAAATAGTGTAAGTTTTTCCAAGTTTTATCCTACTGTATTTGTGTTCTCTGTATCTCTGTTTTTTCACAATATACCAGCCAGTCAGCACTGCAGGCGAAAAGATAGTCGTAACATGAAATAAAATGAAATATACTAATATAATACAACAATAAAAATATAACTATTATCTTAGTAGCAGAAGAAGACGAATCCTTTATTGTGTTACTCCTATGCAATTTGCCCTTTGTCGTTTTATTTATTTTGTTTAAATAAAATATAAAAAATGAATAATAATTTCTACAATTTAATAATCCCTTAATCACAAAAAAAAAAAAAAATGAAAATTATATCTGTAATGCTAAGATCTGTTTATAAAACAAATGGAAAAAAAAACCCATTGATGCCATGTTCCAAATGCCCAATTCTATTTATTTAATTTCTGTCTAATTTTATTGCCATTGCCATTTATTTATCTGTGTCTTCTATACTGGCTACACTGTGTTCCATTTCAGTGATTAGATGTAGTTCAGATTTCTGATAGGTGGTAATTCTATTTAATACACACTTATAATGTGTTAAACATGGCATAGTGTTACTTTCACAGTTTAGTTCTTTGATTTAGAGTTTAATGATCGTGTGTCAGAGTGAAAGGCAACCTTATTCCATGGTATTGATTGCAAATTTATCCTGGGTTATTTCCAGACTGAATTAGAAGATTTATTTCTACCTTTGATGGATAGACATCTTTTGGCTTAGGTCCATAGTTACAATGTACACACCAATGCCTTAAGTAGATAGAGCTGACATGGCAGTTAGTGTCCTATATAAGCTTGGATTAGAGTTGCTAGCTGGTTAGGTCCTGCTTGTAGGTAAGTGAAGTTGTGGGTTGCTTGGGGGGAGAATTTGTAAATTTCTTATGAACATTTGCTTAAGTCATAAGTTGTTCTGATATGTTGATTGATCTAGCAATTTTTATTCAAACTTTATTTCTCTATTTTTACACAATTGCACAAAAGAATTAAAAGAATAATAAAAAAAAACACAAAAAAAAATGATATCTAAACTTCGTATGTAACGTATTGTAATTCATTTATGCATCACCAAAATAGGATGCAAATCTTCATATAATAAAGGGAAACTATAGTGCCAGGAAAACAAAGTTGTTTTGCTGGCAGTATAGCTCCCTGTGCACCTCCCCCCCATGAGGCAGAAGGGGTAAAAAAGCCTTCTGTCACTTACCTTGTTCTAGCACGTATTTCCCTCAGTGCTGGCTATAGTCCCGCCTTCACTTCTCCCCCCACCCGGGCATTTAAAGGCAGAGCAGCCCTCGGATGGGTGTGGCCCAAGAGGGTGCATGTTGTGTCATCACCAATGACATTCATGCCTCTCCAAAGTGGGCACATTTGTTTAAAATTTCTCAGGGCAGTCCACTTGTAGGGGCTGCAGGGTAAGAGGGGGTCAGGGGATGCAGGGTGAGAGGGGGCAGAGGCTGCAGGGTGAGAGGGGGCAGGGGCTGGAGGGCGAGAGGGGGCAGGGGCTGGAGGGCGAGAGGGGAGCAGGGGCTGCAGGGTGTGAGTGGGGACATGGGGCTGCAGGGTGAAAGTGGACTGGGTGTAAAAGAGGGAGGGGCAGGGACTGCAGGGTAAGGAAGGGGGACATGAGGGAAAAAAAACCCCAAAACTTACATACTCCCCCATCCCTCTTCCTTACCTTGATCCCTGGCAGGAGAGGATGCTGGGGAGGAATTCTTTTCCTTGGTGGTTCAGTGGAAAAGGCATTTGGTCTACTCCCCTTGACAGGTGTAGACTATGTGCACAGGGCCTGGGCTGTGCATAATTGTGCAGGTTGGTGAGAGAACTCTTTAATCTCACCACCGCACAGAGCTCCCTCTATGGGCCAGAGGGGCCGGCCGGGGAGATCCTTTGATCTACCCTGTCAGTCTCGGCCCATGGCCATCGCGGCCCACCAGGCATTTTCCCGGTTTGTCTGATGGCCAGTCCGGGCCTGACTGCAATAGTTACCTTTCCAGGGTTAAGGGACCTGGGAATATGAAACCAGACCACTTCAATGAGCTGAAGATGTCTGGATGCCTATAGTGTCCCTTTAAGTAAAGGAACTTCAAAAAATTAAAAACCCATAGCTAAATTGTAGTTATTGTGCAGCCTTTAGTGTTGGGTTGAGGGGACACTTAAACGATCATCGTTAGATGCCTTATAAGGGAGAGGATGAAGATGAAAAGATGTAAATATAAAGTGAATATTAATTTGATTGAGTTCTAGAAGCATGGGGCGTCTTGGATAAAAGTCCTTAAAGTAAGAGAGGGAGAATTGGATAGGCTTTGGTTGTGAGAAGGGTGGAGTGGGGTGGACTTAATTGATATTTATTGAAAAATATTTCATGTCTTAAATTCTTATTTTTTTAATTCCAGGGAACTGTTGTATTTTTTTCTCATCAAAATCTGAAATAAAATGTAAGTAGTAATACATAGCTTTGTATTGTGAAAAAGAGGCTAAATTAGGGCAAAAAAGATTATTATATGTATAATTTAGTGCCTTGGAATATATCGAATCAATAACTGATAGTTAAGGTTTCATTTGATATAGTATGAACAGAGAATGTTTATATTTAATATATTTTACTAGTAAAGTCATTTTAATATTGTATTTCAGTTTATGCCCAATGAAATGATGTGAGTGTCACTCCCTATAATAATATTATTGGGTGTATTTTGAGTATATGTGAATATTGGAGATTACTATATACCTTTATCTGAGGGCTTAAAATAACCAATAATCAGTAACAGGGAATAAAGTAACATCCAACTGTTTTTAAAACTCAAGAGAGTTTATTCTACAAGTAATTAATTATGGGATATGTCAACTAATTAGCAAAAATAATGTAACAGGCATGGGGAGGGGGGAGTTAAAGGACGACTATAGTGCCAGGAAAACAAGTGCCCGGGCTCTAGGGGGTGGAAGGGGTTAAACTTACCTTTTTCTCCAGCGCCGGGCAGGGAGCTCTCCTCCCTCTTCTCCTCCTCCTTGGCTGAATGCGCATGCGCGGCACAATGCTTTCCTATGGACGCTGGCGTCTTCTCACTTTGAAAATCACAGTGAGAAGCGTGGAAGCCCTCTAGCAGCTGTCAATGAGGCAGCCACTAGAGGCTGGATTAACCCTATTATAAACATAGTAGTTTCTATGAAACTGCTATGTTTACAGAAAAAAGGGTTAAACCTAGCTGGACCAGGCACCCAGACCACTTCATTAAGCTGAAGTGGTCTGGGTGCCTATAGTGGTCCTATAATTTCAGTGGGGCTTCAGACTGATTAAAACAATGCTGCTTTGGCCCCCAAGTTCTGGAACTCATTACACTGCATTTAACTGTTTCGTGTATAAGCCCCCTGAGCCTCTGGACCCACTTGTTCACTTTTTATACCAGTATTTTTCCCCTACAATTACCATTTTAACTTAAAATATTAACATAACCACGGAAGGCAAAAACTCAACCAGCTAAAATAGCCCGCTTTGCACATTATTTTAAAATAAAATCTTCATTATTCATGGAGTGTCCTTTGCAAGTTAAAATTAGGCTCCATAAATTAAAACAAAATGAATTTCGCTCTAGAGTGCTTCACCACTTGCCCTCTAGGTGGCGTTTCAATCACTGTTTAGGAGATTAACGCAATAGATTTTTAGAGATTCATATTCTCTTATCTTATAAAACTACATAGGGCAGTACATAATGAAATTTAGCAATATGGTCTGACACCATAGGGATCACATTATAACATTTGAAATACTCTGTATACTTTACTTAACTGGTCAAAAACTGAAATATGAATGGAAAACTTAAGGGTTAAATAGCCATGCCAAAATCGAGAATTTGTTCCAAATCAAATTATTTAGTTTTATTTTTGCAATCTTAATTTCAATTTACTGAATTTTTAGTTTAGAATTTAATGTTAACCCTGTAAGAGCCCACTATCACCAGGTCAACCAACAAAGCCAGATTTAACAACCAACAAAGTAAGATTTAACAGCTGGGTGGGGGAATTTTTTCTTGTATTGCATAACTTGTTGGTGAACTAACTTTCTTTCTGTACCAAAAGCTTACTGTTTTGCTGATAAACCCCTATATAAGATATGACAAGAGTAGTGTGCATAGCTATAAATTTTCCCATTGATTCTCTGAAAATCATAAAGTAGACCAATCAGCGTTAGAATCATCTTCATTCATAATCCTTTCACTGTAGCAATTATGTATGAATTGAAAAATAGCTATATTTATTTCATATGGCCTCCAACTCAAATGTGTGTGCCCAAGATTCAAGAATTATTTGTCATAAGAATTAAGGTTTCATCAGTTTTCTATGATAAATAAACTGTTTAACTTTGGAAGTGTGGAAATCAATACTGCTAATAAGGGCTTTAAATCCGTGCCATTTTATTGTATGTCCGGGTAGACGTTTAATTTAAGATGTGTATTTTGTAGACTCCAGCAATCATGGGTGACGGGGAGATGGCCTGTTTCGGAGAGGCTGCCCAGTTTCTCCGTAAATCTGATAAAGAACGATTGGAAGCCCAGAATAGGCCATTTGATGCCAAGAACACCTGCTTCGTAGATGACCAAAAAGAGTTGTACGTGAAAGGTCTAGTCACAGCTCGTGAAGATGGCAAAATCACTGTGAAAACTGATGATGGAAGGGTAAATATAAAATTCTATTACTTATCATACCAGCTGTTAATTACGGTTAATTGTGACCTTAACTGAAATATGCCTCTCTTCTTCTAGACTGTAACTGTTAAAGACAGCCAAGTTTATCCTCAAAATCCCCCCAAGTATGACAAAATTGAAGACATGGCCATGATGACCCATTTGAATGAAGCCTCTGTGTTGTATAACCTCAAAGAACGTTATGCAGCATGGATGATCTACGTAAGTTGGGGCTCTTTCTCCATAGAAAGACCAGATAAACAGTTTAAGTAAAAAGTGTGCACCTCCCCTACTTAAACTATTTAAGGAAAATAATAAAACAAGAGTGACATAGAACAACTTTATATACCATTTCTTGTGTATAAGAAAATCCATGCCTGGAGTTAGAAATGTGCCTCCTAAATGTTCCCCTTACAATATATTAAAATAATTAATCAGCTTTTTAGTAAAATATTTACTGACACTTTATTGTGGAAACATTCTAACTCTTTACTTGTCCCCTTTACATATAAATTGACGCTATTTGTTTTGTTGGCCGTTTAGACCTACTCTGGCCTTTTCTGCGTCACTGTGAATCCCTACAAGTGGCTCCCAGTGTACAACCCTGAGGTGGTTGCTGGTTACAGAGGGAAGAAACGTATGGAAGCCCCACCTCACATCTTCTCCATCTCTGATAACGCTTATCAGTTCATGCTAACAGGTGCCTGGCCATTTCTTCTGTGTAACAGTCTTAATTTATCAACACGTAATACTATGAATGTTCTATTAATCCACATCTCCTGTTTGCAGATCGTGTCAATCAGTCTGTCCTGATTACGTAAGTACTTTGTCAGTATATTGTCATTGTATCTTTCAAGTTCTAGTCATTTCTTCAGCTTTTCTAGACGTTCTATATTTTAATCTTCTTTATCCATAGTGGAGAATCTGGTGCCGGAAAGACTGTGAACACAAAACGTGTCATCCAGTATTTTGCAACAATTGCGGCTATTGGAGAGAAAGGCAAACAAAAGGAGCCAGCTAACAGCTTGAAGGTAATACAGCTATTGGGATTATTAATACATAGTTAAAGAACCGAAAGGCTCAAAGCATATCTAATCTGCTATACATTACTCTCTGTCCACTGGTGTCATGTTATTGAGAAGTCACTTTCTTGTTAGACATATATTCATATATAATTAGGTTAAAAACAAGTACAAAACCCTCTGTTAATCTTCATTAACAAATATTCTGCTGATCCAGAACAAGATGCAGAACATTTTTACTGTAGATTTAGTACATCTATGCATAATGCTATGTGTGGCGAAACCAACCTCGCCACTGTGAACTGGAGAAGCCTGGTTGCTCGCCTGCTCCCTTTGGACTATGGCCCTGCAGGTTAAACTGTTTATTTCCCCTGCAGAAAGGCTTATTTGGGTGATCTGAGTGCCATTCATCTAATAATGTGCACTCAGATCCCAGCTATCTGGGGATATGTGAAATGTCTGTGTGTTATGTGTAAATGTGACTTTATGTATTTTAAAGTGTTTTGTGTCTTTTGCAACCATGTGCTTAATGGAGTCTTGTGTCTGTCCTGGGAGATAATTGAATTACTTATCTCCAGGATAGAAGACTCTGAAACTGGTTTGGGCCAGAAAGCCATGCTTCATTTAGTCACAAAGGACTTTCCCTTAACTTTTGAACCCCTGGTCTGATTCGTGCCATTTTTTAATATGTTGTTCCCCTGAATGGATTGATTGTGAATATGTAATTTTATGTGAATGTGATATATGGTTTTAGAGTTATGAAAGTTGGGTAGAAAGTATGTTTTAACTGTATGTGTAATTGAGTTTCCTCTCAGGATAAGGGGAGGGAATATGTGGGATGTAACTGATATGTGATTGGTTGTTTTGTAACGCCCTGTGGGCTGTACTATGTTTGTGGATTGGGAATAAAAGAGGCTGTATGTGACAGTACAGAGAGTTCCTGTTTTAACCCTCAAAGTGAAGTGTCGTCTCATTATTGGGGAAGGATTTATTGTATGCTGTTCCAGTTTGACTGCTAGGAGAGTAAACCTATTCGTATGGTTCCTATTCAACTGTCTACAGCATTCATATGCTTGAGAGCATTCATATGCTCCTACGGTTTGGTGGTTTTGGTGTCTGCTGCAGTGCTTGGAGTCCTCAGGAAGTGCTAGGAGCATCCTTCAACGGAGGTGCCCAGTCGGGGTGCCAGGCGATCCGTTACACTATGTTTCTATCTCCATGTGTAGGATAAGAGATTAATGTCCAAATTATGAATTTCATCCAATTAACTAATTTTACTCCTGTATGACAGGGCACTCTGGAAGATCAAATCATTGAGGCTAACCCTCTGCTGGAAGCTTTCGGTAATGCCAAGACCGTGAGAAATGACAACTCCTCTCGTTTTGTAAGTTTTTGTTAGGCAATAGACATTTTCATGTTACCATCTGTATGTTTCCCCATTTTGTTACCAAGTTTACTAAACACTCACTGTGGTATTTAGGGTAAATTCATCAGAATTCATTTCGGCACCACCGGAAAACTGTCCTCAGCTGATATTGAAACATGTAAGGAATATATTGCAAATTAATTTATCTTTAACTATTTATAAATGGGATATATCATATTTCTTATATTGGCTTTTATTTGAACAGATTTGCTAGAGAAATCCAGAGTTACCTTCCAGCTGTCTGCTGAAAGAAGCTACCATATCTTCTATCAGATCATGACAAACAAGAAACCAGAAATTGTTGGTAATTAAACAAAAAAATTTAATTCTCCAAATTCATAATTTTATAACATGACAGGAGGCTTCATATTTGCTTTAGTCTCTCTTTACTAGAACTCCACAGCAGCACAGAAAAACAACCAATCAGAAAAAGGTTAGGTTCTATAAAACTCCCCTCCCCATACATCATTTCCTCTTTCTTTGCTGCTCCACATCAGTACAGGTCTGAGTACCACTGCCTCCTGCTTTTAGTGGGTGGCTGTGGGATTTTATTGTTTATTTACAGTATTCTGTAATTGGTTTATTTGGGGATTTACTGTTTTCTGTATGTTTTTATGCTTTCCCCTGATTACTTCATTAGATATATTGTGTGTGGATTTGTGGGGGAGGGAGGGAGGGAGGTCTTTGTGGGCCTTCTGTTGCTTGCCTATCCCTTGGGATTTCCCCCTATTTATTTCCCCTGTCTAAATTCCCCTCCTGTCTTTATTTCTTATCTGCCCTTTTTTTTTTTTTTGGGCTGTGTTGTATATCGCTTGGGGGTTTCAAGAGGCTGACTGTTGGGCTGCATCCTCCGATCCCCCCGAGCTCCGGGACTGCAAAGTACGTCTCCAGCGGTCCCGTGTGATTTTTACTGGTCTCTGGGATACTCACGATCTAACACATATACCCGATGGACGGATCCATCTCCCACGTGGCCGCCTTGCCGCGGCCGGCTCCTTCAGCGGACCGAGTGCGTCCGACCAGGTGGAGGAGGGTGCACTTGCTCGTGCCCCTCCAACCTCCCCCGTCTGTGGAGGTCTGACTACGCAGTTTTTTCCCCCCCGCTGGGAGTCAGGCTCTACTCCAAGAATTCTGGACTTAGTGGCAGCCTGAGAGGGCTCTCTCAGCCTGCATCTGGGTTTCTGTCTACTGGACACCATAGGTTTCCTTCCAGTGTTGCTCTCTGACACCCTCCCTAATGTTTTGGAGTGCTTGATGCATGCTATATAGACTGGGTTGCACTGGGATCTCTACAGCTTGCATATACCTGTAGTTGGTTGCTGGGCATTAGGGGACTGCCAGCTGTTTAAAGTTTTATACTCACATTATTACACTGCCAAGAAGGCTTTTGTGTATTGGGGTTGTTGTCACCAAGATGCCCTAAGGATTTGTAAATATATATGGGGACTCTACTCACACACATTGGTCCCTTGCTGCTGTCTTAATACATTGGCCTGCTCTGTCTTTGCCCCTTTGATTGGCCTGCTCTGACTGTGCCCTATTGATAGGCCGACTTTTGTCTGTGCCAAGAGCCCCCTTTTGGCCGCAGGCCTGGGGGAATATTACTGGGGAGAGCCTCCGTACCCCCTATAGACACAAAGATATGTGTGTCCATATAAGCACTGCTACCATGCTATCTGGGGTGACACCTGCCATCTGTCTCTAGGGTCTCGCTACGGTTAAGACAACAACCGCTATGGACGCCCCTACCCAGGAAAGCCTACAGGCAATGATTAATGCAGCTGTGGCCGCCTCTGTTGAAAAAGCGGTGTTACGAGCCCTCCCACTGGTGCCTCAAGATAGGGGCACAACAGAGACTCCGCTCGCGCAAGTAGAGTCAGACTCTGACTCACCAGAAAGAGGCCAGACGCGTGCACTTAAGCGTTATTGGAAGGGTGAAGGCCCTGAGCCTTGTGCCCTGAAGGGCAAGGACCCGCAAAACTTCACCAGCCCGGCAGAGGCATATCTCAGAGAAGAGTTTTCTTATGAAAAACATACAGTGACCAGTGCTCAGACACCAACGGGGGAGCACAGGAATTTTTTGGCCTTTAGCTGCTAATCCTTTATCTGCAAATCCTGTACTCTTTTTTATATCTAGGTAGTTATATCTACGTCATGTATAGTTCTTGGTTATATATGTTGGGTTTACCTGTTTTTTGCTTTTCCTGTTCATTATATTGCCTTCCCTCTGAGGTACATATTTTTACTTTATCTGAACTTTTTAATTTTAGTCCTGTCGTTTCTTTATTTCGTGTCCTCCGGTTTTTCTTCTCGCTCGGGACGTTGAGAGGCCTGACTTGGCCTCCTCCGACTTCCCAGGCTCTTGTGAATCGCGGAAAACGTCTCCAGCATTTCCTCAGCCTATCTGTGGCCATCGTGGATTCCGCGCACTTGCGCAGGATCCCAGCTTCCATTTGTAGGTTCCATATTTTTTTCTAGCTATTGCAGTTTCTCAGCCTGACTCCATTATTAGACTCATGGGCATGGCCCTAGGCTGAATTGTTACTCCGACTACTATCAGTATTGTTTATTCCCAGTTTGAGTCCACCTCTCATATGACTGATACTGAGAGTGATTTCAGTATCAGGCTAATATTATTAAGGGGTGAGCCCCTCGCATATAGTCAGTCTGAGATGAGCCCGAGGCGTATGATAATTTACATGATTAGAGGGTGACCCCCTCTCATATACTGAACCTGACACTACTTTTATTATTAAAGGGCACGACCCTCCCATAACATCAGCCCGATGCCGATATTGATGCCAATTGCATGATTTGAGGGTGACCCACTCTCATATAAGGAGCCAGACACTGATATAGGCACTGATTTTATTATTAGCGGGTACGGCCCTCTCATACTATCAGCCTGATGCTGATACGGATACCGATTTACATTATTAGAGAGTGCGGCTCTCTCATATGCTCAACCCGCTTCTGAGCTCCCCTCGTGCACAGCCCAATATGACTACTTATACTATTCCCATCAGTTTACCGGTTGCGTTGCAGTTTATTACAGTACTGGATTCTGTTTCCTTTCTTGGAGGGCGAACCCGTCTCTTGACACTACTCGACATGGTTATTTCTCCTACTACCGTCGACCTTTGTTCATCTTACAGGCTTATGCCAGTACAGGGCACCAATGTCTTCTTAGAGGGGCGTCCCTCCTACATTCATCTCAATATGGAGGTCTGTGCCACATACCGTGTTTTGACGCTGATGCTACAGCTCTTGCAATAAGGGCTATGGCTACCTCACCAGAATGTCTAGGAAGCACTGCTTCATAGCGACTGGGTAAGAGGAGAGAACCCCTCCATTAGATCTAACGACTGGGCTACTAATTATTTTCTTTATATAGATGCTACCTGATTGGGCATGGTATTGCCTGTTTAAACTGGCTTTCACTGTTACAACTCCTATAATTTGTCTGCTGGATCTGTGACACTGTATCCCGGGATATACTCATTGAGGTATTACTGGGGGAGATCCCCCCACCTTATTTACACGTTTCCCTGATGCCTTATTGGACAGGGTATGGGCTGTTTTGAACTGGTCCATCTGCTGTCACTTTTCGCAATTGGAAGGTCCATTTGGAGATTGCTCTAGTTATCTCCCGGAATAGGTACCAGTGAAACAAACATCGTTGGATTTGTTGGCTGAGCGTTAAAACAGCAAATACGAGGCCTCCTGTCATGTTATAAAATTGTAGATTATTCTAGCTTTAGTGTACCTATAATCTTAATTTTATTAATGACAGAAGGCAAATATTTCCCTCCCATTCTTATCTCTCCCTTGTATAACTTTAATAGTTTGGGTTAATCAGGTACGTATGCAACTCTGCTTGTTGTCTCTGCTACCTGTCACTTGTGCTTGTGTCCATTTCCAAAGTAACAGTTGGGAGCTCTGTACATTATGGTATTTCTGGTTGTTACACTGGGTGCCTGCATGTTTTGTTCAGAGTACATTTCATTGGCTAACCAACCTTTGCAATTCTGTTTTTTCTCGTCTCAGTTTACAGTCAGTCAATGCTATCTGGTTGTCAGTTCTTCTCGGATGGTGGACGTCGTTGTATTCATTGTATCTAGGACTAGTTTTTCTCCATTATTTTTTCTATTTTTTTGTCGCAGCTTGAAAGAGGAAATTATGTGTAGGGAGGGGAATTTTATAGTACCTTACTTTTTTCTGATTGATGTTAATGTGCTGCTGTGGAGTTCTAGTAAAGAAAGACTTAAGCAAATATTCGCCTCCTATCATTAATAAAATTAAGATTTTAGGTACACTAAAGCTAGCATAATCTACAATTATATTGACAGGATATAACTGAGATGAAAAGGTATAAATCAGACATTTAAGACTATTACTTCCATGTGTAATGTTTTATTTTTACCAATATATCTTTTTCTCTAGAAACACTTCTGGTCACAACCAACCCATACGACTTTCCTTCCATCAGCCAGGGTGAGATTGTTGTGAAGAGTATTGATGATGAAGAGGAATTGTTGGCCACTGATGTAAGTGCTGAAGTTATGAAGAAGAGCATCAACATTGCAACTTCTGTTCTGAATACTGGTTTTTAATTTCAAACTTCCTTTCTCATCCTACAGAATGCCATTGATGTCCTGGGTTTCACCGCAGAAGAAAAGATTGGTATCTACAAACTTACAGGAGCTGTCATGCACCATGGCAACCTGAAGTTCAAGCAAAAGCAGAGAGAGGAGCAGGCTGAGCCCGACGGCACTGAAGGTTTGTCTTAGTGTTCAATGAAAAAATCTCAGTACAACTGCTACGCATATAAATTAGAAACCTAATCTCTGCTTAACATGGATAAAACTTGTGTCCAATATCAGAGGCGGCTCTCTAATTAGGCTATTTAGGCGGCCGGCTAAGGTCTTGCAGTGACTGGGGCCTCGCGGCTGCATAAATTGCCTTGGGGCAGACTAATGTGTGAGGACCGACACTAGGAGAGGCTCCGGCGGCTTGCCCTGTATGACGCCGGGTGCGGGGCCCACTACGCGCAGTCTGCCCATGGCAGAGAGCCAGCCTACACTATGTAGCTCTGCCGGGTGCAGAGCTGCAAGACCGTGAAATGTCTCCCAATCTCCGCCAATCAGAGCGTTGCCACGGGTTACCATGGCAATGCTCTGACTGGAGCTCACGAGATACTTAACACATGGTCTGCTGCTCTGCACACGGCGGAGCTGCAGACCGGAGAGACAGCCCATCGGACCACCACGGAGAGCTGCCACAGACCAGCAGGGAGCCATCACCCGCAAAAAAAGGTATTTAAAGGTGTCACACCCCCTCCTCCACACCACTGTCACCCCCCAATATGTGGGGAAAAAATTTGACTGTTTTGTTATCTGTAACATTTGACAATTTTTTTTTTTTTTTACTATGGTTGTTAGTGGGGGCCTCTTGCTTGAGTTTCGCTTAAGGCCTCTCAAAGTCTAGAGCCTCCTCTGTCCAATATATGCATGCAATTATTTCTCTTTTTAACCTGTAGTTGCTGATAAAATCGCATATTTGATGGGTTTGAACTCTGCCGATTTGCTGAAAGCTCTGTGCTACCCAAGAGTAAAGGTCGGCAATGAATATGTCACCAAAGGACAGACTGTCGCACAGGTAATTATGTCTCCCGTGTTCTGTCGATTATTGTTAAGGTGTCTGCAGTTCTGTGCAGAGGCTCACGCTATGTCTGTTCCATTCAGTGTAACAACGCAGTTGGTGCCCTGTGCAAGTCAGTGTATGAAAAGCTGTTCTTGTGGATGGTCATACGTATCAACCAACAGTTGGACACTAAGCAACCAAGACAGTTCTTCATTGGTGTGTTGGATATCGCTGGTTTTGAAATCTTTGATGTAAGTGAACATTTATTTAAAACTTTGTCAACTATATTTTTATAACTTAAAACCAAGTACATTTTATTTAACCCCCTTTTATCGTCTACAGTTCAACAGCTTGGAGCAGCTCTGCATCAACTTCACCAATGAGAAGCTGCAGCAGTTCTTCAACCACCACATGTTCGTCCTGGAACAGGAAGAATACAAGAAGGAAGGCATTGATTGGGAGTTCATTGACTTTGGTATGGATCTGGCTGCCTGCATTGAACTCATTGAGAAGGTGGGTTCCAAAAATGAATCCAGGGAAGTTGTGCTGTGGAAACACAGGTTAACAATGTATGAAATTCTCACTGATATGTACATTTTCAGCCCATGGGCATCTTCTCAATCCTTGAAGAGGAGTGCATGTTCCCCAAGGCCACTGACACATCCTTCAAGAACAAACTGTATGAACAGCATCTTGGCAAGTGCAAGAACTTTGAGAAGCCCAAGCCTGCCAAAGGAAAGGCTGAAGCTCACTTCTCTCTGGTCCACTATGCTGGTACTGTGGACTACAATATCAGTGGCTGGCTGGACAAGAACAAGGACCCACTGAACGATTCTGTTGTTCAGCTTTACCAGAAGTCTTCAATGAAACTGTTGTCCTTACTCTACTCCAGCTATGCAGCTACTGATGGTGGGTTTGAAAAATGTATCATGCAATATTAGTGACTGCTTCCACATTATCGTGTATTAGTTTAACACATAGCTCCCATTATCCTTAAATAACAGATGGTGCAAAGAGTGGAAAGAAGAAGAAGGGTGGCTCCTTCCAGACTGTGTCTGCTTTGTTCAGGGTATGTACATTTTATATTGTTTACTTTACACAAATCTGGACATTTATAAGTATTCTTTTTCGTAACAAATGTAGGTTTACTTCTACCCCAGTCTAAGCATCAGACGTCACACTGAATTACATATTTTCTATATCTGTTTCAGGAAAATCTGAACAAGCTGATGAGCACCTTGAGAAGCACTCACCCACACTTTGTGCGTTGTTTGATTCCTAATGAGTCCAAAACTCCTGGTAAATTTCTATTCTGAATATATTTATTTAATAAGTTACATAACTGAAAAGAGACTTGCGTCCGTCAAGTTCAGCCTTCCTCACATTTGTTTTTTGCTTTTGATCCAAAAGAAGGCAAAAAAAAAAAAAACAGTTTGAAGCACCTCCAATTTTGCAAAAAACTAGGAAAAAAAATTCCTTCTAGACCCCAGAATGGCAGTCAGATTAATCCTTGGATCAAGCAGCTATTACCCTACATTGAAAAATTATATCCTTGAATATTCTGTTTTTGCAAGTATGCATCTAGTTGCTGTTTGAACATCTGTATGGACTCTGCTAAAACCACTTCTTCAGGCAGAGAATTCCACATTCTTATTGTTTTTACAGTAAAAAACAAAAACCTTTTCTTTGCCTTAGACGAAATCTTCTTTCTTCCAGTCTAAACAATAAGGAAACAGTGTATTTCACTGTTGGGATGTTGTCCACTTTAAACCATGATCAATTTTTCACTCCATCAGGTATCATGGAAAACCATCTGATCATCCACCAGTTGAGATGTAACGGTGTGTTGGAGGGTATCAGAATTTGCAGGAAAGGATTCCCCAGCAGAATTATCTATGCTGACTTCAAACAACGGTATATTTTATGTATTACTTTAAATAAATTGATAGATTAAATGAATAAGTATTTGTTTTACACGTATGTGCGAAAAAACAAACATTGTTTTTATAAAATTATACATTTGCCCTGAATTTAAACCCCAAATTGTTTTTTAACTTTTATGAAGTTACAAAGTGTTGAATGCCAGCGTTATTCCAGACGGGCAGTTTGTTGACAGCAAGAAGGCTTCTGAGAAACTTCTGGGCTCCATTGATGTTGATCACACTCAGTACAAATTTGGCCACACCAAGGTATGAAGACACTGGAACATTACATAATAACTTATACATATTGATGTTTTAGAGAATACTATAATTGTTTTCTCTCCTATGCAGGTGTTCTTCAAAGCTGGTCTTCTGGGTACCCTGGAAGAGATGAGAGATGAAAAGTTGGCACAACTTATTACTCGCACTCAAGCTCTTTGCAGAGGTTTCTTGATGAGAACCGAGTTCAAGAAGATGATTGAGAGACGGTAACATTTATGTAATATTCTCATAAAAGTGTTAATGAAGAACTTTGTGTTAGAATAAATACTTATTTTCTGTAAATCATTTACACAGGGAAGCAATCTACATCATCCAGTACAATCTCAGGTCATTCATGAATGTCAAACACTGGCCTTGGATGAAACTGTACTTCAAGATCAAACCTCTCCTGCAGAGTGCTGAGACTGAGAAAGAGATGGCAAACATGAAGGAAGAGTTTGAGAAGACCAAGGAAGCCTTGGCAAAGTCAGAAGCCAAGAAGAAAGAACTAGAAGAGAAAATGGTTTCCCTACTTCAGGAGAAGAATGATTTGCTCCTGCAAGTTCAGTCGGTAAGAACATGCAAATGTAAACAGAGTATATCTAAACAAAGTCAACTGAAAATATTTTAAAAATACATTATATTTACAATACAGGAAGGTGAGACTCTGGCTGATGCAGAGGAAAGATGTGAAAGCCTCATCAAGAACAAAATCCAACTGGAATCTAAAATCAAGGAGATCACAGAGAGACTTGAAGATGAAGAGGAAAGTAATGCTGAACTTACAGCTAAGAAGAGGAAACTGGAGGATGAATGCTCTGAGCTGAAGAAAGATATTGATGATTTGGAGCTTACATTGGCCAAAGTAGAAAAGGAAAAACATGCTACAGAAAACAAGGTGCGAAGACTAATGAGGATAACCCTTTTGTTACCTAATGCTTAAAGATTGCATTATGTATTTTGAATCACAATTTCTGCTTTACGTTTAGGTTAAAAACCTCACTGAGGAACTTGCAGCCCTTGATGAGAATGTGTCCAAAGTTAGCAAGGAGAAGAAAGCCCTTCAAGAGGCTCACCAACAAACACTTGATGATCTGCAAGCTGAAGAGGACAAAGTCAACAGTTTGACAAAAGCCAAGACTAAGCTAGAACAGCAAGTAGATGACGTAAGTATGTGTAGAAATGGTACTTGCATCATGATGTTCTTAAAATTGTCTCGCTATAGTCTTGTACCCATTGTAATATAACATGATTTCTCTCTCTTTATAGCTTGAAGGATCTCTAGAACAAGAAAAGAAACTCCGTCTTGACCTGGAGAGAGCCAAGAGGAAGCTTGAGGGTGATCTGAAGCTGTCCCAGGAAACAGTCATGGATCTTGAAAATGACAAACAACAAACTGATGAAAAACTCAAGAAGTTTGTCTTTATTGCTAATGTTTGTTTTTCTTTTCTGTCAAGACCTATTTGTCTAGAGTTGTTTAACAAAAGCTATATCATTTTCTGCTAACACACAGGAAGGACTTTGAAATTAGCCAGCTTCAATCAAAGATAGAAGATGAGCAATCCTTGGGATCTCAGTTGCAGAAGAAGATCAAGGAACTTCAGGTATGTTTGTGCAAGTCAGTTTCGTAATGTTATGAGCTACATTGTGTTTTCCCTACAACATTTACTTCTGGTGTTCTAGGCTCGTATTGAAGAACTTGAGGAGGAAATTGAAGCAGAACGTGCAGCTCGTGCCAAGGTTGAGAAACAGAGAGCTGATCTCTCCAGAGAGCTTGAAGAGATCAGTGAGAGACTTGAAGAGGCCGGAGGTGCTACCTCTGCTCAAATTGAGCTGAACAAGAAGCGTGAAGCTGAGTTCCAGAAACTGAGACGTGACTTGGAGGAAGCTACCCTTCAGAATGAAGCTACTTCCTCTTCTCTGCGCAAGAAGCATGCTGACAGTGTTGCTGAACTTGGGGAACAAATTGATAACCTACAACGTGTTAAGCAGAAGCTGGAGAAAGAGAAGAGTGAGCTGAAAATGGAGATTGATGATCTTGCCAGCAATCTTGAGAATGTCTCTAAATCAAAGGTAAGAACATTTAGTTCAGTTAGTCAGGAACACTTTTTTTTTATTGATCTATAATTGTGTGAGCTAAAATATTAGTAATTATCCTTCTAGGCCAACCTTGAAAAAGTTAATCGTGTGCTTGAAGACCAACTCAGTGAAGTGAAGGCAAAGGATGATGAACATCAACGTCTTCTCAATGACCTAACTACCCAAAGGGCTCGCTTCCAAACTGAGAATGGTATGTAGAAAAATAAATGGAAGGATATTGAATCATTTTGAAGCAAACCAAACCTAAATGAGTTGATCCAAGGGAATTGCGAAATATAAACCAACATAGCTGACATGGAAACATGTCTTAATCCAACAATATTTTGACAGCTTGGCTATTTGAACCTGAACTTTTCCATAGGCTTTCATTTCAGCTCAACTCACATTTTTCAAGGAATAAAAAAATATTTACCACAAACATATGTAAAAGGATGGTGTTATAACTCTATAATGCACACAGGTGATGTATATGAATATGAGAAAAAAATAACAACCTGACAATCAGGATAATACAAATACAGCCAGGTGATAACATCTAAAAGAAAGAGGGAATGTATATAGTGAAGTAAGATAGGTGAAAGGATCAGAGGGGGCAGGGAGGTAGAAAACTCACAAGCTGGACAAGGGTAGAAGGCTTCTCTCCCACATATGGTTATATTCCAAGAGGCTGATATCTTCACTTTTCAGCTCCTCAGATATGTATGGAAAAATAAGAAATAACAAATAGTGCAATGCTATAAATAAAAAGAAGATTTTAATTTAAAGTTTCACTTACAAGCATAAAAGAAAGATAGGCTCATCGCCACTCCAAGTTGACCACAGGAGCACCTCCCAATTTAGTACTCTTCTTAAGAAAATAAGATGCAAGTAGCAATAAAATAATAAAATCAATAATACAGCATTAAAAAAAAGTCCAAAGAGTAGCAGAAATCCAACACGTTTCATCCAAAAGAACTTCCCCAGGAACGTGCAGTTCTCCATCTTTGTCCAAGTTTAAATAGGGGCTTAATGAAGATTCACGGCTGAATCCAATATGCATTCCACTGTGGAGCAATATCCTGATATCCAGTTTCCCAGTACGGCGTACGTTCCACTGTGGAACGCATATCCTGAATTTTTTTCTAGTTCCTCTTGCTAAGCCATTATGATACTTCTGCCTGACAATATGAATGTAGAATCGGTGCCCACACACAAAATCAGTGTCGCTCCAAAAACATACCCACCAGAAACAAGTGTCCATCCAAACGATTCCTAAAGGCTAAAAGTATCTATATGTACAAGAAAGGAATCTCTATGGTGGGATGTTTATAAGAATAGGGAAAAAAAACAAAAAAAAACACAAAATAATGAAAAATATTAGAATCAACTAAATATAAACTAGAAAAAGGCTAAGTGATAACATACAATATAACAAAAAAATTACAAAATAAAAAATAAATATATGTACACACAAAAAAAGGAAATTTTAAGAAAAATTACACATATACACATACATGTGTATATCCTAAATATTGTTTTGATCTCTCTTTATACAGGATATTTTACAAAGGTCAACGAAAATAGAAGATAGAATTTAAATGAAAAAAGAAGATTTCAAAGTTTATATAATTTGTACCTTTACAAAACTAACAAACCGCAGGTTACTTAGAAACATAACATTTGTTAATACCAGAAACCTCTGAAGTTCTCTTTTTTTGTAAATTCAATGAATAAGTTTCACAGGCAGAATCAATAAATGGTGTACATGGGTATAAGTAATTGCCTGATGTAACACTACACATAGCAAAACTAGAAAAAAAAGACAGGAAGGAGAAAATGAAGATAAGTAGAGGACAAAAGTCGAGAAATTGGCTAAAGAAGACGAGGGGAAGCTATAAATCATATATTTTAGTAGAAAAAAGTTTTGTAGGTATCATGAAATGCAGCAGTTATTTTATTAATTCCCTAGTTGATTTTGCAGATAAATGTGGACATACTGGAGTGTTTACTATCTGGCAACAGTTCAGCTATGGCTCTTTCACTTGCCAATGCAATTTTAGCTGCCCATTTATTTTTGGCTTTTGGGAGTGGGTCCTGAGGTTTAGAGAGGAGTAAAGACCAAGGACCATGAAAAAAGAGTTTAGACAGAACATGAGAGATAATACAGCGGATCAAAAAGGCTGAGGGTATGTGCCCTGCTTGCCACAACCAATCCAACAGAGATCAGTAAGTTTTTAATGCATTTTAATAAGTCTGTTGTAGTGAGGTCAGCGTGGTAAAGTTTTGTAAGCCTGTTGCGGGTGTGCAATGCATATAGTTAAGGAAACTGTATTTCCCAAATATCAAAACCTTCGAAACTCAAAAGAACTACCTTGAAATTTCCACCAGAAACTGTTTTAACTAAGACAAATATGGGTTTTGAAGGTGAGAAGGTCAACCTGTTTCAAAGTAGGTAGCCAGGGCTTCCTATTGTCAAGTCACATTAAATAGTTATTTAGTTCAGTACATTGCTACATACAACATGCTTAATGATGTTTGCAAAGCTTTGCATTAATTTTTGGTTCACTCTAGGTGAGCTCGCTCGCCAGCTTGAAGAGAGGGAATCTCTGGTTTCACAGCTCTCAAGAGGAAAGCAAGGCTTCACACAACAAGTGGAGGAACTCAAGAGACAACTTGAGGAGGAATCAAAGGTAAAGCAAGGACTTCTTAATATGAATGTATTCCAAATTCTTGATTATTTCTGGAGGGCATCAGATCAACAGTCTATAAAGATGTCACCTGATATGTAACATTAATTTTCAAACCTTCCCTTCTGTCATTTCATTGAATACATATTTCCCCACTTTTTCAGGCTAAGAATGCCCTGGCTCACGCACTCCAATCATCCCGTCATGACAATGACTTGCTCCGTGAGCAATATGAGGAGGAACAAGAATCCAAGGCTGAGCTTCAGCGCTCTTTGTCCAAATCAAATGGTGAAGTTGCTCAATGGAGGACCAAATATGAAACTGATGCCATTCAGCGCACAGAGGAACTGGAAGAGGCCAAGTATGTTTCCACTAAATAAACACAATATAAATAATGTTATAGTGCTTTGAATAAGGTCCTTAAATTCTACCATCAATGTACGTACAGAAAGAAGCTTGCCCAGCGCTTGCAGGATGCTGAGGAACAAGTAGAGGCTGTGAACTCTAAATGTGCCTCCCTGGAAAAGACCAAGCAGAGGCTACAATCTGAGGTGGAGGACCTGATGGTGGATGTTGAGAGAGCCAACAGTGCAGCAGCTGCTCTAGACAAGAAGCAGAGGAACTTCGACAAGGTAGATATTGAAAACAAATTTCCTAACCACAAAAAAAAAAAGAAATCTACAATATCAACACATTATCATTCTGTATTAATATAATAGGTCCTGGTAGAATGGAAACAGAAATACGAAGAGGGTCAAGCTGAGCTGGAGGCTGCTCAGAAAGAATCCCGTGGCCTGAGCACCGATATCTTCAAGCTGAAGAATGCTTATGAAGAGGCCTTGGAACAAGTTGAGACCTTGAAACGTGAAAACAAGAACTTGCAACGTAGGTTTATCTATATTACATTGGTTACAGGATACATTGCTAACTTCACAATAATTCTTCAACTTAATTTAAGCATATTTTCTAGTATTCGCATTAGTATAGTCATGCAGATGGCAACTAAACAACACATACACAAAACGTGGAACTGTGGTAAGGACCATTTCTGCAAATGACTGAACTATGTTGACATTATAACATTTTATGTATGAAATGGGACCTTTATGTCTCATAGTCTCCTAAATCTCTTTCTATTGTATTTTCCTCCTTCTGTAGTACTTATTCCACAACAGATCCCAATTTCCCATATATTAATACTGCTGAATTTCTGCAGAACTTACAATAAACTTAAATACCAGTCACTGTGGAGCAAAATCTAAATAAATATTTGATCATTACTTTTCTAGAGGAGATCTCAGATCTCACTGAACAGATCGGTGAAACTGGTAAATCCATTAATGAACTGGAGAAGGCTAAGAAGCAAGTTGAGCAGGAAAAGAGTGACCTACAGGCTGCCCTGGAGGAAGCAGAGGTATGTGCCTGAAATAAATTAATAAAATATCTGCAACCAATAGTGCCATGTGAAGGGATACTTTTAAACAACCAATGATACATATATATTTCTAATAGGGATCTTTGGAACATGAAGAAGCCAAGATCCTCCGTGTTCAGCTGGAATTAAACCAGATAAAATCTGAGGTGGACAGGAAAATTGCAGAGAAGGATGAAGAGATTGAACAGCTGAAGAGGAACTCCCAGAGAGCTGTTGATACCCTGCAAAGCACACTGGACTCTGAAATCAGAAGCAGGAATGATGCCCTGAGACTAAAGAAGAAGATGGAAGGAGACTTGAATGAACTTGAAATCCAGCTCAGCCATGCGAACCGCCAGGCTGCAGAGGCACAGAAGCAGCTCCGCAATGTGCAGGCCCAATTTAAGGTATTTCAGGAGTACCATGCAGAAAAATATTTATATTTATTATTTTTACACTAATGTTAGAGCCATTGGTTCTTAAAATGTGTTGTATAGAATATTGTCCATTATAGGCAAGAGCTTGAACACATATTTTGCCATTTCTTTAAAAGGATACCCAGCTTCACCTGGATGATGCAGTAAGAGGACAGGAAGATCTGAAGGAACAGGTGGCCGTGATTGAACGCAGAACCAACCTGCTGCAGGCTGAACTTGAAGAGAACAGGTCTGCTCTGGAGCAGACAGAGAGATCTCGTAAGGCTGCAGAACAAGAGCTCCTGGATGCAAGTGAACGCGTCCAGCTTCTGCACTCACAGGTAAAATAAATACAATGGAAACAAATTAAATGTGCATTGACAGAATGTGCCTAATTAGATGGAATAATTAACATACTATATTCTTCTCCACTTCAGAACACCAGCCTCATCAACACCAAGAAGAAGCTTGAGTCTGACATTGCTCAACTCCAGAGCGAAGCTGAGGAAGCTGTCCAAGAATCAAGAAATGCTGAGGAGAAAGCCAAGAAGGCTATCACCGATGTATGTTTGTCCTACGTTTTCACATTATGAGCAGATTGTTTCTTTGATTTTTTTTGAGGGGTGGGGTTTGTTGTTATTCACGGTCTTCTTGAATTTTTTCCAAAGGCTGCTCTTATGGCAGAGGAACTGAAGAAGGAGCAGGACACCAGCTCTCACTTAGAGAGAATGAAAAAGAACCTTGAGCAATCCGTGAAGGATCTGCAGCATCGTCTGGATGAAGCTGAGCAGCTAGCACTGAAAGGTGGCAAGAAGCAACTTCAGAAGCTTGAGTCCAGAGTACGTACACATCACTGGGTTGTGGTGAATGAGGTTGCATTTTAAAGTTGCAAAATAATAATCTGTACTCTGCTGATGTGATCTCCAGGTTCGAGAACTAGAGAACGAACTGGATAATGAACAGAAGCGTGGAGTTGAGGCAATTAAAGGTGTGCGCAAATATGAGAGGAGAGTGAAGGAGCTATCTTACCAGGTAAAGAATTATTCTTCTGTGTATTAAAATGACATATTGATATATTACTTTAAAAACAATAATACTTACAAAAAATAATGCCATGATCTCTAGTAAACTCCGTAAAACTGTTTTTCTTCCTTTAGACTGAAGAAGACAGGAAAAATGTCCTGAGATTGCAGGATCTGGTGGACAAACTGCAGCTGAAAGTAAAGGCCTACAAGAGACAAGCTGAGGAATCTGTAAGTATAAACCCAGTGAATTCTTGTTTGTAGTCAGCCAAAGTCTAATTAGAATACCCTGTTTCCCCTAAGTAGTTGTCATCTTTTTGTGTATATGTATAAATACCAGAGTATCATTGCATAATGCAATATTTTGTTATTTTGGCTATATATATATATACACACATACACCAGAATATTTATATACACTTTAATTATTCTTCATTCATTCTTGTGTCTCAGGAGGAACAAGCCAACGCTCACTTGGGTCGGTTCAGGAAGGTCCAGCATGAGCTAGAGGAAGCCGAGGAGAGAGCAGACATTGCTGAGTCTCAAGTGAACAAGCTCAGAGCTAAGAGCCGTGATGTTGGCAAGGTATAACAAAATTCTACAATTTTTCTATCATGTTCAGTCTACGTTTAGTTATTGTTTTTCACTCTAAATTCCCTTAGAGAAGTAGTATTCTCTATCACGCTTTCAAATTTGATAGATTTATTTGATAGAAACCTAACCTCAACATCTGAGGAAAGGGATTTAGGGGTGATTATTTCTGATGACTTAAAGGTAGGCAGACACAGTGTAATAGAGCAGCAGGAAATGCTAGCAGAATGCTTGGTTGTATATGGAGAGGTGTTAGCAGTAAAAAGATGGAAGTGCTCATGCCATTGTACAGAACACTGGTGAGACCTCACTTGGAGTATTGTACACAGTACTGGAGACTGTATATTCAGAAGGATATTGAAGGAATTCAGAGAAGGGCTTCTAAACTGGTTCATGGATTGCAGGATAAAACTTACCAAGAAAGTTTAAAGGAACTTAACATGTATAGCTTGGAGGAAAGACGAGACAGGGGGGATATGATAGAAACATTTAAATACATAAAGGGAATCAACACAGTAAAGGAGGAGACTATATTTAAAAGAAGAAAAACTACCACAACAAGAGGACAGAGTCTTAAATTAGAGGGACAAAGGTTTAAAAATAATATCAGGAAGTATTACTTTACCGAGAGGGTAGTGGATGCATGGAATAGCCTTCCAGCTGAGTGGTAGAGGTTAACACAGTGTAAAGGAGTTTAAGCATGCGTGGGATAGGCATAAGGCTATCCTAACTATAAGATAAGGCTAGGGACTAATGAAAGTATTTAGAAAATTGGGCAGACTAGATGGGCCAAATGGTTCTGCCGTCACATTCTATGTTTCTATGTTTCTAATAAAGGGTGACACAACCTTGCATTATAGCTGCAGATGGTTTAATTTAATTTAATCTTTATCTCATTCGTCTTACAGAAAGAAGGGCAGGAGTGAAGAAGTTTGAATGACTGAAGAGGGAGAAACTTGCAAAATGTGAATTTCTTTCTTCTTTCTTTTCTTTTAGCACCCCTATTTTACCCTAAATAAATTATATATTTGCATATTTAAATACATTTTCATGTTACTTGTTAGAGGAAGCTGAGGGAACATCCTATAAGGAAAGGAGGAGCAAACATGGGTGGTAGAATTGAGGTAGCAAAATTTTGAAACTATCTGCTTTTGCAGAAAGAAATCAGAGTGCAGATCTGGATCAGGAGAAAGAAGGAATGGAAAGGAAAATTATAGTGCCTGGTAGGAATTAAAGTCCTAATAAGCAAACCTGCAAAAAGGACAAGGTTCAGCTTCTAAGCCCTGAAGACCAAGCAAAAGCACTTCTGTAAGAGTTGCCAGCCTAGGTACACCCCTTACCGACTAGGAGTCTGACCCAACTCTCTCCCGCGGTCCACTGCATACATAAGGCCTAGCCACGGTTCAGCCTCTTATCCCTCAAGGCCCAGCAAATGCCAGCTTGGGTACGTCCTTCAGCGGCCAGGGGTCTGACCCATCTGTCTCCCTCACGGGAAAAAAGTCGTCCACTGGATACGTGAGGCCAAGCCGGGGCTAGGCCTTTTTTTCCCTGAAGACCCAGTAAACTGCACTTCCATAAGGTGACTACCTGGGTATGCCTATTTTATGTATACCACCATATTCGGGGTCTGTTTTAAAAATGTCTCCCACCGGTGATGACAAATTGCATATGGTGTACAGAACCAATTACATTATTTGTCAAACCCATGCACACAATGAGTCCAACCTCTTTCAGTACAAAAACATAAGCAAATCACAACAGTCCTGGTACATTATCCATCATGAAGGGGTTAAGGATGAAAAGAAAAAAAACAATACAGGTCATAGATCTACAGAGTAATTGAATGCGTTCCACAGCTATACCTTAGCCAGGAACACCTATGATTGTGCGCTCGCCCTAGAAGAAAATCGAAGTACTCCTATGAACCACCTATTTTAGAAGCAATTTACCACTGATAAACATACAATGGTTGAACACCCAGGGGTTAAAGTATAAGAGCAATAAGTTTACTCCAGCAAGAAAGAGTCTTCTCTTCTGGGTGCAAGACTTAAACACCAGAATTTCTAATCCTTAATCCTGTTTGAACAAGACATGCTAGAGTGGTCAAGAAATAAAAGGTTCCATAATATGTGGTGATGCATATTGTACGGTACACAAGAGGTAGAAGGAACAGCATACAACCGCCAAGAATAGAATCAAAGTGCACATATATCCAAGTAATGCATAATAAAATACCGTAGCAAGAGAGATTTTGAACAATTAGAAAATATTCTCTCTTAATGCAAAATGATAAAATGCCCCAAATCACAAAGTCCATAGAAATAAAAATATGAATATCAATACACACAGAGCATAGTGTGATATTAATTACATATGTGTTTCAGGTATAGCAAAGAAGACACTACAAGCTTATAGTATGAGGAACCATGTTAGGCTATAGATGTACATCCAGGTGAGAGGTAAACAGGAAACCGGAAGTATAAGGCAATACAGTTCCACCATAAGCAAACAGCATAACTCCAAACATTTCCCTTTATTTACAATCAATCCAAACGTTGCAACAATTAACCTAGAACAGATACTGAACAGTTTTAATCATAACATATTATGCTACTGGTAAGTGCGCTACAGATTGAGCCTATCTGGTGGTCTTCAGACTCTACTACTACACAAGGTGTGTGTCCCGGGTGCACTGATTGTGCTGTTTACATCACAATTCAGTTATTATTTTTCTCTCTTTTTTTATTCTTTTCTTTCGGTTTTAGTACTTTAGCAGAACATCTTGGGACAAGATGGCAGGTTTCCTGTCCAATAGGAATACTAATTAGTGGTGCATAGATGCCGACACAGTATTCTCTGATCAAGAACTAAGAAATGTCACTCAAAACACGGACATTGCCTCCTCCTTTAATACTCTTACGAAATTATTCAGAAAACAAATTAGAGCAGGTTAACAGGAGGCCTCTCTTAAAAATTATCTTTAAAAAGACCTCATCCCCAGGGGATTGAGAGTCCAGAATATCCTTGCATCACAAATAGGAGAACACGAACTTACAAAAGAATGGGAGGAAGTGGTAGCGCGATGTTCAAAAAGATTTATAGAGATATTGTGTAAATATGAGAAAATAGATTTAAAAAATGTAAATAAGGACATTGATGATCATATAGACAGTAGATTTGAGGCATTGGAAATTAAACTTAAAAACAATCTTGACAAATCTCAAAATAGCATCAATATATGTAAACATAATAGGTTCCTAAGGGACATCTAGGACTTTAAGTTGGGTAATGTGTATGAAACAAATTAATAGGGACTGTAGGGTAGACTCTGATTATGTATCTACCTCAGAATATGAGAGTAGTGGATCAGAGTCAGGAACAAACAAAAAAACGCTCCCTCTACTTCTACTGATATGAATCCTAAAAGTATCTTCAAAAAAGGGGTATCTTTTTTAGCGAGAAGAAACATGGACAATCCTACCCCTCCATGGACACAGAGCCAATCAAGACTCCAGTACGACACAGGATATTTTAACCTCCTAGAACTTTCAGGTACTCAATCTCCCCCAACATTTACTTTTCCCATGAGAACTACAGCTACTGCATAGAGGCTTGTTCTTCATCTCAGTACCAGAATTTGATTCGTTCTGCTGGACGAAGAACATCCATCTCTTTGTTAGGAAATTAGCCCATAAATTAAAGGAGAAAAAAAACAAAAAACTTAATCCTATAGAACAATGACCGGGCCCTTTTGGATACATTGGTTGACTTACTGACTACCAAGGAAAGATTGGGAAAACAACCAAACTCCACTTAACACACTTAGAAAGAAAAATGAACTGGTTCATGAGGACTGAAATGCATCCCTATTTGATGAGCAAATCAGGTGCATAGGAACCTTTGATGCAGGGTGGTACATGGTAAAGGATATTAAAGAGATATTATGGCCCGTAGTGCATCAGGACAAACATCTACATCCAGTCCTAACCCTAAGGTGTCAATTACTGACAGAAGTGGCAGAAATCTTAGACATCTTGGTCCCTAGCCACAAAAATAGAAAAAAATATGGGCAGCACAAACAATTTCCAATGTGCACACCAAGTGCTACAAAAAGATTTATTTACAAGGACATATAATGCAAGTGTTTCGGGTTATTCCTTTTATCAATGGATGGTCCCTAGCCATCTATCATCCCTAAAATCTACCAATAATTGACTTAGATCCCCTGCGATAGGCACATATCAATGTGGAAAATGCAAAGCATGTAAATTCATCCTCAGTCAAAAGCATTTACAAATTCAGACGACAGTGAATCGATTACCACCAAGTCCTTTTTCAACTGTACAACCTGATTAGGATATCTCCTTATGTGTAGCTGTTCCATGAAATACGTGGGCAAGACGATTCGCCCTTCAAACAAAGGATCTTGGAACTTGTCAATTCAGCAAAATCTTCACGTAACATAGACACAACGATCGCTAGACACCGGAAATCTTGCCACAGGGGATCATTGGATAATAGCCATTTTTCAGGCATTGACAGTGTCGCCTTGGGCCCAAGAAAGGATAACCTGGACAGGAAACTATGCCAGAGAGAGAGCTATTGGATCTTCAAATTGAAAACTCTGTCACCAAATGGTCTCAATTAAGGATTTTCATTTACCCCATTCATTACAGAATAATTCCTTTAATCGCTCTATAATAGATGTGTTTTAATACATAGGATGAAACATGTTTATTATTATTCATAATTTCTGTTTAAATTTGAACCAAAGAATAATTATTTTCATTTTTCCCTCCTCCCCCTCCTTTTTGCAATCATTTAGACACACTAATGTGTTTGTTTGCAGGGATTTTGGATTTCCCTGGGTCAAGAGTTTAGGCAATCTATCCCTTTGCCTACTTTTTTTTCCCTGGTCTTACACTATTCACTTTTCACTGTAGGTATAAATTTACACAACTGCCAGAATTGGAATTATTCATCCTTTTGGATAAGATAGCAATTAGAACCCTTTTTGGGTTTAACGATAATTCTAGCCACAAGTATTGAGGGATATTATTGATACAGTTTAAGGGGCTGTGTCCATCTATTCATACCTAATTGTTAATCGTGGATAGTCGTAGGGGAACGAAGAACGAGCTCGCCATCATTTTTAGGAACTAGGTGGCATACGTACTCCTGTAGTATGTCACCGCAGACGTCTGATTACTCCTCAGGGAGGCACTACAAAAGGGGGCACAGTTGAAGGGGCAAAAAAAATGCCCATAGTGAGGTAACCTTTAGACCAGGAGAGGAAGAGCTTAGTGGGCGGTGATCGATGAGAGGAGGAGTCTCAAGCCGATCGTCAGGCCCCCAATAGAAATGATTGATGTCCACAAGATAAGACACAGTACTTTTATGGGGGTCTCATTCAGTAGTACCCTCGTCCCTGACTAAGGTGCATCTCTACAAGCACCAAAATGCACGTTTGGCTAGTTGGGCTAAGGCTGGTTTAGTGAGCACAAACTGGCAGTACATAGTGTACTTTGGGATCAATGTAAGCCCGTAAATATTATTTTGGGCTGATCTCAATCACAAAAGAGCCAGTTGGATTACAAATTACCTAAACCTGTAGCATAGTTAATTTAATGAGAGTTGGGAGGTATTTTCACAGTAAATGTCATACTATTAACAGGATAGTGCAGGGGTAGGCAACCTACGGCACTATTGCCATGCACGGCACTCGAGGTGCCTTTGCACGGCACTCAAGGCTGCTAGAGCCAAACAGGCTCTGGCCTATCAGGAGTCCCAGTAAAACTTCAGATATCTGCTAATACGAATAGATGGTGAAGGACAATCCTCAATTTATGCATTGCAGCACGTAGAGGAAGTGATCTCAGAGCACTTCATTCCAGCACTTGTGAATGGGAATCCACACAGTAGTAGAGCAGCTCGCAGTTGTTGTTGCAGCTCCGGTCCTTGATCTGTATCTGGCCAACATGGTCCCCACTGGAACCCAGGGAAGCCACCCACACTGCTAGATATACACAGAAATGCAGAAAGACCCTCCCCTCATACAAATAATACGGACAGCCCACATACAAACATACACACAATCCGCACAAACTGAACACCATTGACAATCCACATACACGCACACAACCCCACATGCAGCCTCTCACATGCAATACCCCAAACAGCCCACACACACTACCAAACACATAATGTGACATGTCCATCCACACACACAATTCCACAAGCAGCCCTCAAACAGCCCACATTCATATGTATTATACACGATACCACAATCTACTCATGAACATATTGTGGCGAAACCAACCTCGCCACTGTGAACTGGAGAAGCCTGGTTGCTCGCCTGCTCCCTTTGGACTATGGCCCTGCAGGTTAAACTGTTTATTTCCCCTGCAGAAAGGCTTATTTGTGTGATCTGAGTGCCATTCATCTAATAATGTGCACTCAGATCCCAGCTATCTGGGGATATGTGAAATGTCTGTGTGTTATGTGTAAATGTGACTTTATGTATTTTAAAGTGTTTTGTGTCTTTTTGCAACCATGTGCTTAATGGAGTCTTGTGTCTGTCCTGGGAGATAATTGAATTACTTATCTCCAGGATAGAAGACTCTGAAACTGGTTTGGGCCAGAAAGCCATGCTTCATTTAGTCACAAAGGACTTTTTACTAACTTTTGAACCCCTTGTCTGATTTGTGCCATTTTTGAATATGTTGTTCCCCTGAATGGATTGATTGTGAATATGTAATTTTATGTGAATGTGATGTATGGTTTTGGAGTTATGAAAGTTGGGTAGAAAGTATGTTTTAACTGTATGTATAATTGAGTTTCCTCTCAGGATAAGGGGAGGGAATATGTGGGATGTAACTGTGATGTGATTGGTTGTTTTGTAACGCCCTGTGGGCTGTACTATGTTTGTGGATTGGGAATAAAAGAGACTGTATGTGACAGTACAGAGAGTTCCTGTTTTAACCCTCAAAGTGAAGTGTCGTCTCATTATTGGGGAAAGGATTTATTGTATGCTGTTCCAGTTTGACTGCTAGGAGAGTAAACCTATTCGTATGGTTCCTATTCAACTGTCTACAGCATTCATATGCTTGAGAGGATTCATATGCTTCTCCGGTTCGGTGGTTGTGGTGTCTGCTGCAGTGCTTGGAGTCCTCAGGAAGCGCTAGGAGCATCCTTTAACGGAGGTACCCAGTCGGGGTGCCAGGTGATCCGTTACATTGGTGGCAAGCGGTGGGATGGCGTCCTAGTGCGAGGTAAAGCAGCTCAGAGACACAGTTCGTTTGGATTTACAAATTGAGGGCAACGCTAGCACACGTGCAGCGACCCTGGGAGCAGAGGTATCCAGCGACTTGGAGCAGACAAGTATGGAAGGCTCTGGCGATGATTGGATGGCCGAGGTGAGGCAGCGAGTGGCCCAGTATGGGGATGATTTACCCATGGAGGTACGCCGGGTGATCTGGAACCAGGTCACGGCCGAGCGAAACACAAGGCTGGCCCGAGAATTCCGGCTGGCGAAAGAGAGAGAGTATGCTCAGCGGAAGGAGTGTTACAGCAGCCGAGTAGAGGCTGCATCCGAGGAGGCTAGCCGTCTCCCCCTGAGGCAGCCGCAGGAACCCGAAGTAGGGGTCCTCATAGACTGGTCCTGTGAGGAACCACAACAGGCATGTGGAGATGGGACCGCCCCAGATCCCCAGCAGCAGCCGGAGTTGCCAGGTGCGGAAGCAGGTGGTCCTTACTCGCAAATGTTGAGGGACCTCACAGACTGGTCCTGGGCAGACCCACAGATGGCAGGTGGAGATGGGACGGCGGTCTCTCAACCGGCCCTACAGGGATGCTGGGCGGTCGGCCCAGATCTCCAGCGGCAGTATGTACCACAGGGAGCTGAAGGTGCAGTCCTTCCTCCCCAGCGGCAGTGTGCACCCCAGGGAGCTGAAGGTGCAGTCCTTCCTCCCCAGCGGCAGTGTGTACCCCAGGGAGCTGAAGGTGCGGTCCTTCCTCCCCAGCGGCAGTGTGTACCCCAGGGAGCTGAAGGTGCCGTCCTTCCTCCCCAGCGGCAGAGTGTCCTGCAGGGAGCTGAAGGTGCCGTCCTTCCTCCCCAGCGGCAGAGTGTCCTGCAGGGAGCAGAGACTGTCAGTCTCGCACCCCAACCACAGGACAAAATAATGAAAGGGGAGACAGCTGGTCCCCCTCTCCACCAGCAGAGAGAGTGTCAGGGAGAGGAGCCTGATACCCCTTCTCCCCAGCGGCAGTTTACAGTTCAGAGAGAGGAGCTTGTTACACCCTCTCTCCAGCGGCAGCCTAACCCAGCAAGGGGAGATGTTACACCCCCCAACAGTGCAGATGGGACTGTAGTCTCTGCACTTACAGCACAAGGGGTAGGGACAGTCGGTCCTGTTCCCCAGCCACAGAGCGGTGTATCCAGAGGGGAGACAGTTGGTCTCTCCCTCCCACAACCAGGCTCCCACCAGGCTACTTCCGTGGTAGCACTGGCATCAGGGCAGAGTACCGCTGGTCTCTGCCCACTCAGCAACCCACCAAGGCAGCCTAACAGTTGCCCACACAGTCGTGGTGAGGCACCTGGACATGGACAAAGTTCTCCTCTACCCAGGTGTAGTAACCAGTTATTGTGGGTGGGCTGTACTGCTGTTTCTGTTTTGTGGGTGGGTTGCTGGACTAACCAGGGCACTGACCGGCAGGAGGTCAGATACCCTGTTAGTCTAGTTGGTAAAGGGGAGAAGTGTGGCGAAACCAACCTCGCCACTGTGAACTGGAGAAGCCTGGTTGCTCGCCTGCTCCCTTTGGACTATGGCCCTGCAGGTTAAACTGTTTATTTCCCCTGCAGAAAGGCTTATTTGTGTGATCTGAGTGCCATTCATCTAATAATGTGCACTCAGATCCCAGCTATCTGGGGATATGTGAAATGTCTGTGTGTTATGTGTAAAATGTGACTTTATGTATTTTAAAGTGTTTTGTGTCTTTTTGCAACCATGTGCTTAATGGAGTCTTGTGTCTGTCCTGGGAGATAATTGAATTACTTATCTCCAGGATAGAAGACTCTGAAACTGGTTTGGGCCAGAAAGCCATGCTTCATTTAGTCACAAAGGACTTTTTACTAACTTTTGAACCCCTTGTCTGATTTGTGCCATTTTTGAATATGTTGTTCCCCTGAATGGATTGATTGTGAATATGTAATTTTATGTGAATGTGATGTATGGTTTTGGAGTTATGAAAGTTGGGTAGAAAGTATGTTTTAACTGTATGTATAATTGAGTTTCCTCTCAGGATAAGGGGAGGGAATATGTGGGATGTAACTGTGATGTGATTGGTTGTTTTGTAACGCCCTGTGGGCTGTACTATGTTTGTGGATTGGGAATAAAAGAGACTGTATGTGACAGTACAGGGAGTTCCTGTTTTAACCCTCAAAGTGAAGTGTCGTCTCATTATTGGGGGAAGGATTTATTGTATGCTGTTCCAGTTTGACTGCTAGGAGAGTAAACCTATTCGTATGGTTCCTATTCAACTGTCTACAGCATTCATATGCTTGAGAGCATTCATATGCTCCTACGGTTCGGTGGTTTTGGTGTCTGCTGCAGTGCTTGGAGTCCTCAGGAAGTTTAGGAGCATCCTTCAACGGAGGTACCAGACGGGTGCCAGGCCATCCGCTACACATATACAATATAATAGCTCGTATACGCACAAATACAACGATACAAAGCAATTACAGTGTAAATAACACAAGCAGAATACGGCAGCATACACACTTCAATTTAAAAAAATAAATAAAAAATAGGACCGGCACGCTACAGGACATCACAATCCTATATCGGCACAGTGCTGCTAAAAGGTTGCCTACCCCTGGGATAGTGTATCACTGTTTAGCACATTGATTTCTCTCTGTCTCTGTATGATAGACTTAGAAACTTTCTCTGAATATCGCTTGATTTACAATAGATGGGTGAAGAGATTAATAATACTAATTTAGTGTATTAGATGTAAGCTATCCAAATATTGAATCCAGGTATTTGGCTCATGAATTGTGGAGACCATATTGCCATATTATTTTTAACACTTTTTGGATACACTTCGTCTAAATACACACTGATACCTCTACTCTATATCTATTGTAATGCATAGCTGTTTGGAACCTTGGCCTGTATTAATACAGCCGTATGTTCAGGTTCCATCTAGTGATTGCAATATTGTATGATAGACTTCTATCATACTACAGTATATTGTTTAACATTGCAGCACTAAGGGCAAAAGGGACACTGTATCCAGACCACTTCAATGAGCTGTAATGGTCTTGGTGTCTACAGTGTCCCTTTAAAGTTAAAGTGACAAACCATTTATTTCCTCTGGCCGCACAGAGCGGATAAATTCACTGCTGTATATCACTTCTGCGGTGTGTGTGGCTCTTCCTCATATGCAGATGTGTTCTCCATGGCGTATAACTTTTCAATTGATGGCTGTCTTTTACTTGACAAACATACGTTAGCAAAATGATTTGTCCCCCCACAAGACTTCCCATAAGCAGGACGCTGCTCTTTAATTCTTTGATGCACAGTCCCACAATCTTTGCACGCTGTATGGTCTGCAGCATTTGTGCTAATCTGGCAGTGTTATTCCTGTTTGCTAATGTGTTGTCGCTGCACTGCAATGTTTATGCTGTCGGTCTGCTGTCTGTCCTGTTCCATAACTTCCATACGTCTGTCAGTGTGCTCTGCTGTACGGCACATTTCAATGGCTGTGTTTAAAGTTAATTCATGTTATCTTAAGAGACGCCTGCGTGAGCTCTTACTAGCTACACCGGGAACAATATGGTCCCTTATTAGTTCATCCCTCAGAGAACCATATTCACATTTTGCAGCTTTTTCTCTCAAGCGTGTAACAAAGTTATCAAGAGATTCTCCCCCTTCTTGTTTGCAGCAGCTAAACACATACCGTTCACATATGACATTTTCAGCAGATTTGAAGAAAACTTCCGATGCGTCTAAAATGTTTGCAACATTCTCTTACTGCTTGAGGTTCACATTGTGCCTACAAACAGGTCTGCACTCACTGCCCATGACTCTTCTCAGAGTATCTGCCTGCCCTGCTGCAGATTTCTCCTTCGACCCTATAGCCAGGGAATAATGTTCAAATTCAGCTCAAAAAGTTTACTAAAGGCAGTAACCCCCAAACCTGTGATGTACCCCAAAGCTCAGTACTGATTGTAGTCACTTCTGACACCATGTTTCAGTTATAGCAATGAAGACACTACAGGCTATTAGTGTAGGGAACCATGTTAGGCTATAGAACTACATCCAGGTCAGAGGCAACAGGAAACAAAGTATAAGGCAATACAGTATTATTCTGAGTGTTACAGTATTTGCTAAATTATTCCAAACAATATGTGCAGCAAGTGTTAACAAATCAACGCCAGACTTTAACACAGTGATATGAAGTATATTAAGATACACAGCCTGTGTTCAGCATTACATTTCACTCATTGTTCACAATACATTATTTATTTATAAAATTATTTACCAGGAAAGATACATAGTTACATAGCTGAAAAGAGACTTGCGTCCATCAAGTTCAGCCTTCCTCAGAAATGTTGTTGCTGTTGATCCAAAAGAAGGCAAAAAACCTGGTCTGAAGCACTTCCAATTTTGCCCCAAACTAGGAAAAAATTCCTTCTTGACCGCAAAATAGCAGTCAGATGTATCCTTGGATCAAGCAGCTATTACCCCACTAATTAGAAATTATATCCCTGTATGTTATGTTTTTGTAAGTATTTATCCAATTTCAGTTTAAACATCTGTATGGACTCTGACAAAACCACCTCTTCAGGCAGAGAATTCCATATCCTTATTGTTCTTACTGTAAAAAAACCTTTTCTTTGCCTTAGATGAAATCTCCTTTCTTCCAGCCTAAATGTGTGACCTCGTGTCCTATGTATAACCCTGTTTATGAATAGATTTCCAGATAAAGGTTTGTACTGGCCCCGAATATATTTGTATAAAGTTATCATATCCCCTCTCAGGCGCCGTTTTTCCAAACTAAACAGATTTAATTTTTTTAACCTTTCTTCATAACTAAAATGCTCCATTCCGTTTATCAATTTTGTAGCTCGTCTCTGGACCCTCTCCAGTGCCATGATATCCTTCTTTAGAACAGGCGCCCAAAATTGCACAGCATATTCAAGGTGTGGTCTTACCAGCGATTTATAAAGAGGCAAAATTATATTTTCATCCCGAGAATTTATGCCCCTATTTATACATGACAAAATCTTACTGGCCTTAGCAACTGCAGATTGACATTGCATATTGCTGCCTAATTTGTTGTCTATAACAATTCCCAAATCCTTCTCGTGTGTGGTTATCCCTAATTCACTACCATTTAGTGTGTAAGTTGCTTGTGCATTCTTAACCCCGAAGTGCATAACTTTGCATTTCTCTATGTTAAATTTCATCTGCCATTTTAGTGCCCAGTCCCCCAATCTATCCAAATCTCTCTGCAGCAAAGCAATATCCTGCTCACATTTTATTACTTTACAAAGTTTTGTGTCATCTGCAAACACTGATACATGGCTTTCAATGCCTATTTCAAGATCATTTATAAATATGTTAAATAGAAGTGGTCCCAAAACAGAACCCTGAGGGACACCACTTACCACTTTTGTCCAGCCTGAAAATTTACCATTAATTACAACTCGTTGTACTCTGTCCTTAAGCCAATGTTCTACCCAAGAACAGGAATATTCATCTAGACCAATTTCTTTTAGTTTGAAGACTAACCTATTGTGAGGAACCGTATCAAATGCCTTGGCAAAGTCCAAGTAGATCACATCCACTGCAACACCCTGATCTATACTTCTACTTACTTCTTCGTAGAATGCAATTAGGTTAGTTTGACATGACCTATGTTTCATAAAACCATGCTGATTATTGCTAATAACAAAGTTCTTCCCAATGAATTCCTGAATATTATCCCTTAAAAGCCCTTCAAATATTTTCCCAGTTACAGAAGTTAAGCTCACAGGTCTATAATTTCCAGGCAGGATTTTGAACCCTTTTTAAATATAGGAACAACATCTGCCTTCCTCCAATCCTCCGGTACAACACCTGAAACAAAAGAATCTTGAAAAATTAAATACAGAGGTTCACTTATTTCCCCACTTAGCTCCTTAAGTACTCGTGGGTGAATACAGTCAGGCCCCGGAGCTTTATTTACATTAATTTTCTTTAATAGCTGTAGCACCTTGTCTCGAGTTATCCAATCACAAGTTATTTGCAAGTTTTTTGCAGCAAACATTTGCATATCTCTTACCATAGGATCCTCATTAATATATACTGAAGAAAAATAGTTATTTAAAATTTCTGCTTTTTCCTGGTCTTCATTAGCTAATAAACCCAACTCTGTTTCAAGTGTACCTACACTTTCATTTTTTGTTTTTTTAGAATTGATGTACTTGAAAAAATTTTTTGGGGTTGGTTTTGCATTCTTTAGCTATCAATTTCTCATTTTCTAGTTTAGCCACTTTAATTGCCTTTTTGCAAGTGTTATTGGCTTCCTTATATCTTAAATAGGATGCCTTTGATTTGTCTGATTTAAATGCTTTAAATGCCCTTTTCTTATTTTTAATCTCTTGTTTTACTTCTCTACTAAGCCACATTGGTTTTAATTTGTTTCTTTTATATTTATTACCCAATGGTACGTACTGAGAAATGTACATTTCTAATATATGTTTGAATAGTTTCCATTTATCCTCAGTGTTTTTATCACTAAGGAGTTTATGCCAGTCGATATGTTGTAGAGCTGCCCTAATCTTATTGAAATTTGGCTTTTTTTAAATTATATGTTTTAGTATACCCCACCTGCTTTTGCTTTTTTGAGTTTATTTCAAAATTTACCATATTGTGATCACTATTTCCCAAATGCTCCCCTACTTGAATGTTGGTTAAAAGATCAACATTGTTTGTTATGACAAGATCCAGACAAGCATCCTGTCTAGTTGGTGCTTGTACCAGTTGTGACATAAAGGTGTCATTTAACACATTCAAAAACCTGATTCCCTTTGCTGAAGTACTAGTCCCTCTTTCCCAATTTATGTCTGGATAATTAAAATCTCCAATAATTAACGTGTTACCTCGATTTGCAGCTTTCTCAATTTGCTCTAACAGCTGTTCTTCCTCATTAATATTTACATTAGGTGGTTTATAACATATCCCAACCAATAATTGATTTCCCTTTGTTTTCCCCAAGCAGATATCTACCCATAAAGCCTCCACCTTTTCCTCGTCACACTCCACATGCCTAAGATTTGACTTTAACTCACGGTTGACATATAAACATACCCCACCACCCTTCTTGTTTTTCCTATCCTTCCTAAATAACGTGTACCCATTTAAATTAACTGCCCAGTCATGTGTCTCATCCCACCATGTTTCTGTTATGCCTATTATATCATATTGTTTATGGTATGCTATTGCCTCTAGTTCCCCCATTTTGTTATATAGGCTCCTTGCATTAGTAAGCATACATTTAATATTATCATGAGTCTTTTGTACTTTTTGTGAATTATCAATATTACATACCTCCTCTGTTCTGAGTTTTCCCCTCCCCCCATCTCCACCCCCTTTGTTCTGAGCTAAAGCCCATCTCTTTTCCATCCTATCTCCATTTTCTAGATTGCTTTGACCCTCCCCCCCTACCACTAGTTTAAAATCTCCTCCAACCTTCTAGCCATCCTATCCCCCAGCACAGCAGACCCTCTTCCGTTTAGGTGCAATCCATCATGACTATACAGGTTGTACCCAAGCGCAAAATCGGCCCAGTGCTCTAAAAACCCAAAACCCTCTTTCCTGCACCAAGACTTTAGCCACGCATTGACCTCTCTAATCTCCCGCTGCCTTTCTGCTGTAGCGCGCGGCACAGGTAATATTTCTGAAAAAATTACCTTGGAGGTCCTTTTCTTTAGCTTACTTCCTAGTTCCCTGAACTCATTCTTTAGGACCTTCCATTTTCCTCTGACTTTGTCATTGGTACCAATATGGACCATGACAGCTGGGTCATCTCCAGCCCCTCCCAATAATCCCTCCACTCTGTCGGCAACATGCCGGACCCGAGCACCCGGGAGACAGCAAACTGTCCGGTTGAGTCGATCAGAGTGGCAGATTACCCTATCTACTCTCTTAATAATAGAGTCCCCTACCACCACAACCTGTCTAGCCTTCCTTACCCTCTCAACCCCACCCGTACTAGAGGGGCTGTTTCCACGGCTGTTAGCAGGAACAGCTTCCTGCAGTACAGCTACTCCTGAGCTGATGCTCCCAACATCTTCACTCAAACGGGCAAATCTGTTAGGCTGCATGAGATCAGGACTAGCTAAACCTTTTCTCTTCCCCCCCCCCTGCTTAACACAAAATTATTAACACATTATTCCCAAACCCTCAAGCTGTGCGGCTGCAGTCAGAATAATTAAATTCCTTTAATACAGATATTTATCAACAAATAAGCACCTATAATCAGTTTGAATCAAGTTACATATATATATATATATATATATTGGATCTGCAAGAATTTACCCTGATAACCGGGTGAGGCTTGCTAACTGCAATACAAACTGCAAAGGCTTTCTTGTCTGTCAAGTAAAGTCTCAAAATAAAGGTAGGTATGTACAGGATTTATACTGGATACACATAGAGATAATCTAATGAGAATCACCAACAAAGATTATATTATAAAAGAAAAAACTATCACCAACTATTTCCGTCCAAGGATGGAAACTTGGGAACATACCAATCGATTTGCTCCCCTATATCAGAACTCACCCACGAAAAGAGTGAGAACAGAGGATTAGTTACATCATCCCAGGTTGTCTATCCTTTGGAACAAAGGGAAATAGATAGAGGTATTTTCAATTTAACTAATATCCCCCTGACAGATGATGAGATTAATTTACTGTCTAAAGGAATGAAGTTTGCTCCTAGTAATACCTCTAATGATTTTAATCTTTTCATAGATTTAAAGAAATTTATTCGCTCATTAACTATCAAAAGACATTTTCTCTTAAACCCACCACCTTCGGATGACACCTTGAATGTTTCAACCACCCCTTCTAATTACAATTTTCAACGTAAATCACATTTTTTTCCTATACAAAGCAAAGGCCCTTTTTTAGAGACATTTGAACATATGGTGAATCAAACTTTCCAGTCTTTTAGTATAAGGGATAAGAAAAGATCACAAACCTCTAATTTTACCAAAAGAGAGGAAGAAACCTTAAAAAATTTAATGGATCGTGATGATCTAATAATTAGGGAGGCTGATAAGGGTGGTGGCATCGTTTTGATGACCACCTCCTATTACCTAGAAGAATCCGCCAATATATTGGGGGACAAAAATACTTACACAATTCTAGTTAATGACCCAACGTCACGTTTTAATATGGAACTTGGGATCCTTCTAGATCAAGCATATAATAATGGGATTATTACTCAAAAAAATTTAGATTTTTTATTTCAAAAAAACCCTGTTATACCGATTTTTTATTTCCTCCCTAAAACACACAAATGCCTTCCTAATCCACCAGGGCGTCCTATTATTAGCGGTGTAAATTCACTAACAGCTAACCTATCCGCCTATGTTGATTCTTTTTTGCAGAAATATGCGCAGTTAGCGCCTTCCTATGTGCGTGATACGAAATCTTTTTTACACGAGCTGGAGTGTATTGAATGGAAATCGGAATACAGTTGGGCCACACTAGATGTGACCTCTCTGTATACTGTGATCAGCCATCACTTAGGGTTGGAGTCCATTGATTATTACATGTCTAGAGATAATACATTATCTGTAGGTCATAGGGAGTTTATTTTTTCTTCAGTTCAATTTATTTTAGATCACAATTATTTTTTCTTTAATGGTGATTATTACTTACAAACCACTGGGACAGCCATGGGTACCAGGTTCGCCCCCAGCTATGCCAACACCTACATGAGAAGATGGGAAGAACTTTTTGTGTGGTCTGGGCATGGCTGGAGGGAGAGCCTGGTCCTATGGCGGCGGTATATTGATGATGTTATTATTATTTGGAAGGGGTCTTCGGTTGCTTTTCAGGAGTTTGTTCGATACCTTAATTGCAACCAGTACAACCTGGTTTTTACTCCAGTATGGAATAAATATGAAATCCATTTTTTGGACCTGGTCCTTTTTTGTGATCAAGAACAAATACAGACCAAATGTTTTTTCAAACCCACAGACGGTAATGGCTACGTACATCAACGAAGCTGTCACCATAAACCGTGGTTACGGGGTATAGCTAGAAGTCAGTTTACACGTGTCAGACGTAATTGCTCTAATCTTCAGGATTTCAAGACCCAATCATTATATATTAAGAAAAAGCTTATGGATAGAGGTTACAAAAGAAATTCTTTGGATAAAGAAATCCGTTCCATTAGCTCGGTACAACGTAGTTCATTATTAGAAGAGAAGGGCAGTACAAATGAAAATAACAAAAACTTTAAATCATCCTTTATAACTCAATACAATACTGACTGTAACGGATCACCTGGCACCCCGACTGGGTACCTCCGTTGAAGGATGCTCCTAGCGCTTCCTGAGGACTCCAAGCACTGCAGCAGACACCACAACCACCGAACCGGAGAAGCATATGAATCCTCTCAAGCATATGAATGCTGTAGACAGTTGAATAGGAACCATACGAATAGGTTTACTCTCCTAGCAGTCAAACTGGAACAGCATACAATAAATCCTTCCCCCAATAATGAGACGACACTTCACTTTGAGGGTTAAAACAGGAACTCTCTGTATTGTCACATACAGTCTCTTTTATTCCCAATCCACAAACATAGTACAGCCCACAGGGCGTTACAAAACAACCAATCAATCCATACAATACACCCAGACACTCCCACACAAAATCCTCCCCTCTGCAGGTGATATGATTACTGAACACAATGGGTAATCTCATTATCACCGGCAGAGGAATACAGTTTTTACACAATATTTATAACTTCTAAAATATACATGTCACAAACATAAAACATACATTTTCATAATCAATCCATTCAGGGGAACAACATATTAAAAAATGGCACGAATCAGACCAGGGGTTCAAAAGTTAAGGGAAAGTCCTTTGTGACTAAATGAAGCATGGCTTTCTGGCCCAAACCAGTTTCAGAGTCTTCTATCCTGGAGAGTAATTCAATTATCTCCCAGGATAGATACAAGACTCCATTAAGCACATGGTTGCAAAAAGACACAAAACACTTTAAAATACATAAAGTCACATTTACACATAACACACCGACATTTCACATATCCCCAGATAGCTGGGATCTGAGTGCACATTATTAGATGAATGGCACTCAGATCACACAAATAAGCCTTTCTGCAGGGGAAATAAACAGTTTAACCTGCAGGGCCATAGTCCAAAGGGAGCAGGCGAGCAACCAGGCTTCTCCAGTTCACAGTGGCGAGGTTGGTTTCGCCACACTTCTCCCCTTTACCAACTAGACTAACAGGGTATCTGACCTCCTGCCGGTCAGTGCCCTGGTTAGTCCAGCAACCCACCCACAAAACAGAAACAGCAGTACAGCCCACCCACAATAACTGGTTACTACACCTGGGTAGAGGAGAACTTTGTCCATGTCCAGGTGCCTCACCACGACTGTGTGGGCAACTGTTAGGCTGCCTTGGTGGGTTGCTGAGTGGGCAGAGACCAGCGGTACTCTGCCCTGATGCCAGTGCTACCACGGAAGTAGCCTGGTGGGAGCCTGGTTGTGGGAGGGAGAGACCGACTGTCTCCCCTCTGGATACACCGCTCTGTGGCTGGGGAACAGGACCGACTGTCCCTACCTCTTGTGCTGTAAGTGCAGAGACTACAGTCCCATCTGCACTGTTGGGGGGTATAACATCTCCCCTTGCTGGGTTAGGCTGCCGCTGGAGAGAGGGTGTAACATGCTCCTCTCTCTGAACTGTAAACTGCCGCTGGAGAGAGGGGGTATCAGGCTCCTCTCCCTGACACTCTCTCTGCTGGTGGAGAGGGGGACCAGCTGTCTCCCCTTTCATTATTTTGTCCTGTGGTTGGGGTGCGAGACTGACGGTCTCTGCTCCCTGCAGGACACTCTGCCGCTGGGGAGGAAGGACGGCACCTTCAGCTCCCGGGGGTACACACTGCCGCTGGGGAGGAAGGACTGCAGCTTCAGCTCCCTGGGGTACACACTGCCGCTGGGGAGGAAGGACTGCAGCTTCAGCTCCCTGGGGTACACACTGCCGCTGGGGAGGAAGGACTGCACCTTCAGCTCCCTGGGGTACACACTGCCGCTGGGGAGGAAGGACTGCACCTTCAGCTCCCTGGGATACACACTGCCGCTGGGAGGAAGGGCACCTTCATACACACTGCCGCTGGGAGAAGGACTGCAGCTTCAGCTCCCTGGGGTACACACTGCCGCTGGGGAGGAAGGACTGCACCTTCAGCTCCCTGGGTACACACTGCCGCTGGGGAGGAAGGACTGCACCTTCAGCTCCCTGGGGTACACACTGCCGCTGGGGAGGAAGGACTGCACCTTCAGCTCCCTGGGATACACACTGCCGCTGGGGAGGAAGGACGGCACCTTCAGCTCCCTGGGATACACAATGCCGCTGGGGAGGAAGGACGGCACCTTCAGCTCCCTGGGGTACACACTGCTGCTGGGGAGGAAGGACGGCACCTTCAGCTCCCTGGGTTACACACTGCCACTGGGGAGGAAGGATTGCACCTTCAGCTCCCTGGGATACACACTGCCGCTGGGGAGGAAGTACAGCACTTTCAGCTCCCTGGGATACATACTGCCGCTGGGGATCTGGGCTGACTGCCCAGCATCCCTGTAGGGCCTGTAGAGAGACCTCGGTCCCATCCCCACCTGCCAGCTGGGTGTCTTCCCAGGACAAGTCAATAAGGTCTTCCATCTCTGGGGCTGGTTGGGACATATGTGGCACAGTACCAAGGTCTCCTGATAACAGGCTTGGTTGCTGGGGAGGAGGAACTAAACTCAATGCTTCCGGTGGTATACAGTCAATAAGCCTCATCATGTCAGAGACAGGCGGCGTTATACGTTGGAATAGGCAAACATAATCCTGTTCTAGTTCCCACTCTCGGTTGGCAAGAAAAGATAGATCTGGCTGAATGGCACTGATCTCTGTAAGGTCCCAGTTGTCTGCCCGCTCAGCTCGGATGGACCAGAAGCGAGCAATGTCGGTGTCTCCGAACCAGAGACTAGTTTCCATAGTATCCCACAACAAACCAGGGCCATCATAGTCTTCCCCCTCATAACACTTGTACTCAATCAGCCATGGGTAGAGGTGGTAAACATGCCACCGCAGGGCCCGATAGGAATCATCCAGCCACACCTCAGTCTCAACTAGCGTCTCCAGTTCGCTTACCCATTCCTCTGAGGGTTGGTTTCCCAATAACGGCATCCGCAGCTCTAGTTGTTCTGCTTGGCGCTGGTTAGTGGTCAGGATTTCCTCGCACCGGAAGGGTCGAATTTCGTCAATGTCCTCCTTCCAGAGATCGGTACGAAGCGCCACCCTCCACTCTGTCTCTCTTTCCTCTGGGATAGGATACTCCATACTGCGCATCACATCCTGTAGTCGCTGCTGGAGCCTGGCGTCAAAGTGAGATACTGCACGGCCTTCCATCTCTGAAGTAGTGCTGGTTTTCCCAAATCTTTATGTAGACAGGGACGCTGTATGAACACTAGCGTCGCCTTCAATTTGTAAATCCACGAACTGTGTCTCTGAGCTGCTTTACCTCGCACTAGGACGCCATCCCACCGCTTGCCACCAATGTAACGGATCACCTGGCACCCCGACTGGGTACCTCCGTTGAAGGATGCTCCTAGCGCTTCCTGAGGACTCCAAGCACTGCAGCAGACACCACAACCACCGAACCGGAGAAGCATATGAATCCTCTCAAGCATATGAATGCTGTAGACAGTTGAATAGGAACCATACGAATAGGTTTACTCTCCTAGCAGTCAAACTGGAACAGCATACAATAAATCCTTCCCCCAATAATGAGACGACACTTCACTTTGAGGGTTAAAACAGGAACTCTCTGTATTGTCACATACAGTCTCTTTTATTCCCAATCCACAAACATAGTACAGCCCACAGGGCGTTACAAAACAACCAATCAATCCATACAATACACCCAGACACTCCCACACAAAATCCTCCCCTCTGCAGGTGATATGATTACTGAACACAATGGGTAATCTCATTATCACCGGCAGAGGAATACAGTTTTTACACAATATTTATAACTTCTAAAATATACATGTCACAAACATAAAACATACATTTTCATAATCAATCCATTCAGGGGAACAACATATTAAAAAATGGCACGAATCAGACCAGGGGTTCAAAAGTTAAGGGAAAGTCCTTTGTGACTAAATGAAGCATGGCTTTCTGGCCCAAACCAGTTTCAGAGTCTTCTATCCTGGAGAGTAATTCAATTATCTCCCAGGATAGACACAAGACTCCATTAAGCACATGGTTGCAAAAAGACACAAAACACTTTAAAATACATAAAGTCACATTTACACATAACACACCGACATTTCACATATCCCCAGATAGCTGGGATCTGAGTGCACATTATTAGATGAATGGCACTCAGATCACACAAATAAGCCTTTCTGCAGGGGAAATAAACGGTTTAACCTGCAGGGCCATAGTCCAAAGGGAGCAGGCGAGCAACCAGGCTTCTCCAGTTCACAGTGGCGAGGTTGGTTTCGCCACACTGACCATCAAAAAATTAAAAAAAGTTTGCAGGAATTCTGGCCCATTTTACTTCAGGACCCAGTTTTGGGAAAATCTTTATCGGATCGCCCTATGGTGATCTATAAAAAGAATAAGAATCTTAAGAACTTACTGGCTCCCAGCTATGCTATCAAACCTCCTAATACCCATCTTTCTTCCACTATCGGTCTTTTTAGAGGCTGTGGAATTTGTAAGGCCTGTATTACTACATCAGTGTCTAAAATACAGTTGTTCCATAGTAACATCACAGGGGAAACATTCAAGGTGAAATCTGAGATTAGTTGCCACTCGGACTATGTGGTTTATTTACTGCAGTGTCCCTGTGGCAAACAATATGTGGGACGTACAAAGAGGATCCTAAAGGTTAGAATACTTGAACATCTAAATAATATCAAGAAGAAACTTCAAACTCATTCAGTTTCGGCCCATTGTTCCAACTGTCCATTATTTACCTTTTGGGATTTTACGTTTATGGGCATTGAAAGAGTTTTTCCATTCTGGCGAGGGGGTGATAGAATCCAAAAACTATCCCAAAGGGAGACATTTTGGATACATCGGTTGAATACCCTAGAGCCAAAGGGCCTCAATATTGGTATTGACTTAGTTTGTTTTTTGGATTAGAATTTAAAACTGATTCTTTTTATACATATATTCATTTCTTTACACATTATTTTTCTGCGGATGATGGTGATTTTGATTAAAATACAGCCTTCTGTCTTCCATATGGGTTATGTAGAAGTAAATATATGGCTGAATTGTCTACTATATATATTATATATACTAGTTGGAATTTTTTCGATATTTAGGAACTTAATTATATTTGGGAGTACGTTTTTTTTTTGTATCTTGGAGACATACAGATATTGATAAAAACATTATCTTGTATACATTTATCAATTAATGGGTAAAAATACAATCATTTGGGATATTAGGTATATGTGTAACTCCACTTAATATTGGAGACTTTCTATAGGAACACTACAAAATTTATTTTTCTTTCAATTCAAATTTATTTTTTATAAATATTCATGTTATTCTTTTTAAAAAATTCTTGTGGCATGAACCACTTATTAATAATTAATAGATATTGATATATATCTTATAGTTTAGCCATGTATGTTACATTTGAAATACAATGTTTTTTTGACAATAGGATCACATGTATTATATAAATTGTGCAATTTGAGTGCACCTTTCACTTTAAGAAACACTGTGTGATACTGTCCAATTATAATAATCTAATGGTGACTAATTATACTAACTAACATAAGTAAATGTAGAGAATAATGTTATTAATATTGTTCTTCTCTTTAGCAGATAGAATATATTGTCTTTTATTGTTTTTTCCTGACTATACACTTATATTGAGACACAATGAAGGTGGAACGCATTTCAGCCGCGGGTGGAACGCAAGTGGAACGCGGAAATGCGTTTCAATTTCCACTTCCGGTTCCGGTCGCTCGAACGCGCCGAATTTGATTACAGCAATATAGGGAGGATGGAAAACAGCTGAATAGCTCCCTCTCAGGACCAATCAAGCAACAGATACTGGATACCACCCACGGAACCACCAATGAACATGGGGACTAGCCCTATTTAAAGAGGACTCAGGGATGGGGGGAATAGGATGTTTTTTTTATATATTGTAATTGTATATTGATTTTATTTCTTATATACGGTCCCTGATGAAGTTCTTTGCAGAACGAAACGTGTAGGACCATACCGTTCTTTTTTATCATACTTTATATTGATGGTGATTATTCACCTTTTATCAATAAATACATCGTTTTTCTACCATTACCTGCTGGGAGTCCTGAGCATTATTAAGGAAGCCTATAAGGAGCCAAGAGATTACCAACCCCCCACTCCTAGGGGAGGCACCCTATGAGCGATATATTCTACTTCATTCTGTGAGTGCATTTGTATTCAGCGAAAAAACTGTGCTAATCGTACTTCACTATTTTGTGTATATTTTTCATGTTCCTTTTAGATTAATTTCCAGCCATATCCCGAAGTTCTGTGTTGCTTGTGGTTATCAAGATTATATTCAATTCTGAAATGCCTCAAAAATAATGGCCAGCGTGGACATTCTCTGTAGTAATGCCTGCTGGAGATCACTGCTACATATCTTGTAATAAACCAGGGCCGGCGTGGTAATTCTCTGTAGTAAGGCCTGCTGGAGATCACTGCCACATATCTTGTAATAAACAAGGGCCAGCGTGGACATTCTCTGTAGTAAGGCCTGCTGGAGATCACTGCCACATATCTTGTAATAAACCAGGGGCGGCGTTGTCATTCTCTGTAGTAAGACCTGCTGCAGATCACTGCCACATATCTTGTAATAAACAAGGCCCGGTGTGGACATTCTCTGTAGTAAGGCCTGCTGGAGATCACTGCCACATATCTTGTAATAAACCAGGACCGGCGTGGACTTAGTATCAGTCTTCTGGAGATGTACTGAAATGTAGCATACAGCCAGACTCAATATAATCAGTACAGCCGTTAAGAGCACTCTTATCCAGAACATCAACACAAGGTGTTACAACTTACCTAGATACTCACCAATAAACCTCCTAAATATGACCCATTTGTAATAAGGAAACCTCATGTTAAGGAGTAACTGAAATAATGGTCAACCCCCATGCTTATACTAGCCAGTAATATATACTATTGATTCCCTTACCGGAAATATGCCGAAAAATAAACTTAGCAGCCGGGATAAATAAAAAAAAAATTGCAGGCCTGTGTTCCACTAGCAAATTGGGATTTGAAAACCTAAAAACCCAAACTGTTTAATCTAGAGGCTTCCTTATGCCCATAAGCCATTGCCATCTCCTTCAGGAGAGAGTCTAGGTCAGCCCACAGGTCACTAAAAGGGGTACACCCAGGGAGTCACCTTTAACAGGCCTGTCACGTACTGGGTCTCCAGGCCAGGGGAAAAGAAAGCAGGACGTTGGTGGCAGCGGGGGAGCGCAGTCTGTTTTTCCTGATTCTCACTGCTTACTCTGTAGTGATGCCGGGCATCGGAATAAGACGTCATTTCGGCCCGGCATCACTAAACTGCATGTGTGAGGGAGCAGTGCAGAGCAGGAAGGGAGACCTCCAGAGAGAAGATCTCCACTGGACCCCAAGGGGAAGATCCACACAAGATTTCCAAAAAGGTGGGGAAGCTGGATGGGCCTCAAAAAATAAATCCGTAATAAATATAATACATTTGTGGGTGTATTTGCAAGCACGTGTATGTCTGTCTGTCAGTGAGTGTGTGTGTGTCTGTCAGTGTGTGTGTGTGTCTCTCTCAGTGAGTGTTTCAAATAAGTGAGATTGTGTGTCTGTCATTGAAAGTGTGTGTCCGTGAGTCTGTGTCTGTCAGTGTGTGACTATAAGTAACTATGTGTGTCTGTCAGTGAGCATGTCTGTCAGTGAGTGTATGTTTGTCAGTGAGTGTGTGTGTGTCTCTCTCAGTGAGTGTTTCAAATAAGTGAGATTGTGTGTCTGTCATTGAAAGTGTGTGTCCGTGAGTCTGTGTCTGTCAGTGTGTGACTATAAGTAACTATGTGTGTCTGTCAGTGAGCATGTCTGTCAGTGAGTGTATGTTTGTCAGTGAGTGTGTGTGTGTCTCTCTCAGTGAGTGTTTCAAATAAGTGAGATTGTGTGTCTGTCATTGAAAGTGTGTGTCCGTGAGTCTGTGTCTGTCAGTGTGTGACTGTAAGTAACTATGTGTGTCTGTCAGTGAGCATGTCTGTCATTGAGTGTATGTGTGTCTGTCAGTGTGTGTCAGTGTTTCAAATAAATGAGATTGTGTGTCTGTCATTGAGGCTGTGTGACTGTCAGTGAGTGTGTCTGATTACAAAAAGAGGTGGGGCCATAGAAACATGCATGTCTGAGCTGGACATTTGCCAAGTCCAGGCATGCATGTTTCTGCAGCAACAGTTAGAAAGATGACCACGCCCACTTGGGGCGTCCAAAACAATTCTGCACCCAGACGTCTGTGACCCTAGGATCAAACCTGTGGCTGACAGTGATCAGCTGTCACTCGCAATCAATCAGCTAAACTTGAACAGAAGGACTTCACTCAGGAGAGCTAATGGAAGGTCCTAAGCAGGAAAGTCAAACTCTCCTAGGTGCAGAGAGGAGGCAGGGAGCAACATTTGACTACAGCAAAATTGTCACGAATATTAGGCCAAAATAGGTCAATTTAAAACGAAGCTGACTTTGAGAATTCACCTGATTAGTCTATATTGGCCTAAAATTTTAAATTTATTTTGAATTCATGACTATTCACATTTTAGCAAACAGTCTAGAGTTTACATTTTTTTCCCATCTCTACAAAACGTTCATATGTTATAAGAGCACATACTTCTTTAACAGAGTTGCAAAGCATCCATGTTGTGTCATTATTCCTGTACTGATAATTGCCCCAACAGAAGGACTTTAAGAATCTTCTAAAGTGACTAAAAACTTGTTTGATCCCCAGAACCAGAGAGATTTTGGCCAAAGTAACCAGATGTATTCTTGATATTAGCGGAAAAAGAGGTTTTATTGTTTAATATTTCTCTATTGAGGTCAGTAAATAAAGAAACTTTAAATTAAAGGTTGACTCAAACTTTGACAAAATGACATTTACTAATATATAATTTAATATATTATATATTGCATTTCAGAGCACGGAGAATAGTTTCCAGCAAGGACTACCACACACACAAAAGATAATAAAAGTAATTAAAAAAAATAGAGACTTTGCTTTTCTTAAATTAAAGCGATAGCTTACTTGGGTCTTGCCATGTTTCTCGACGACCAGCCTTTCATGTTTGGTGACTGATACATTTGTGTGGTCTGGAGGTGAGGGTGGAATCAGGTAGGCTTCATACCCTTCCAAACTTGGGGTCAGGCTGTTGATTCATTCCTAAAAAGATACAAATAAGCATTAAACCATTCAAATACAGGAAATACAAGATTACTCCTACATGGTCAACAAACATGGAGTTTTCACAAATTCTCTTCCAAAGTATGTACAAACCATAATATGACAATAGCAAGGCACCTTACCCACAGTATAAAAATGGGTTCAGCATTTGGTGTTCTTTGCTTTGTTTCCAAAGTTTTAATTTGGAACGACACTGACCAATCAAGATAGGGGATCAATACTATGGTGCAACACAGACCAGGGTGATTACCACTCCCTCGTGAATTGTACACCAAAGGAAAAATATCTGGACACATATAGGCTCTATCTGAAAATGCTGAGTTTATTGAAGTTGAACTTTCTTAAAGTCACTTGAGGAGGGCTCCTGCGTGAACTAAAACGTTGCCTGTTCAACTTCAATATAGTGTGCGATTTGGGATCATTGATAGTTGATGATTAACTTATTTGCCAATAACATGAACACGCTTAGTTTTAACTACAATTTCCAATGCCAACAGGAGTTTGGTTCCCCAAAATGATGAAGAAAGAAAAACAAGAGGTGTAATTATATACCATAATTGAGTGGGTGGGAGAGCTGCTGAGGAGGAGCTTGAGGCATTGGGAGTCCAGGTAAGGCATTCTCCATACTGGCAGAAGCGGTAACATTTGGAGGTAGGCTGAAGTCTTGGGGTTGTCCTTGTTGCTGCTACATCATCATTCTCTGCTGCCGAATGTAGTGGCTGATCAACTCTCTATTCCTCTGGGCGACCAACTAAGTGTTAAGAAACCTCTGCTGTTGAAGACTGGTTGATTAGCAACAATCTACACAACTCCCTATATGTTCTCAAAAATCAGATTACCGCATAACGCAGTCTGTATGAGGTAATCAGATTTCATAATTTCTGAAAAAATTAGATGTGTCAGAGGTCCTTTATATACACACAGATATTTGGGATAATCCACACGAAATGTTGATAAGTAAGAACTTTACTTACTTGTGAACCGACAGGCGTCTGCATAACTGGCCTCATCACTTCATCACTCCAGCACCACCAGAATTCAACGTCTCAGCCTTCATCTCAAGCGCTTGTCCGAACAAAATTCACGAACACAGGAAGATTACCTGGTGATGGCAGAATGAATTGTAAAAAACACATCATAGTCCAAAAATATTAAGAAAAAAAACACACTGTTTCTACTGGATTAAACAAGAGTGTGTCTTCATCAAGACTTTGCAGTCAGACTCATCAAGATGCCACTTATACGATGTTATTAATGAACTTTTAATCAGTTATGAAAAATAGCATTTAAGCAAATTTAAAAAATAATATTGTTATACTGTAATATTAATAGTTTTGTTTTTCTAACATACTGGCAAAGGTGCTGTCATCTTTAAATTTCTAGCCCTAAACTTGAAGCAAAAAATAAAGAAAAATGCCATTCTAAACTAGATTAATTATACAAAACAATATGCCATATTTTATTAAATTTGAAAAGGTTATTTATTTTCTTTTATTTATGTATTTCTTTTTTTTATAGATCAGCTTGGTTTGTTGCCATAGTTGATGGACTAAAGAAATATTTTTCAGGAGAAAAAAAATTAATTAACAAAACATTTATTTATATACATTTTTTTTTTTTTAGAATTCTGGACTTTAAATAATAAGAATTTGTTGAGAATCATGCGCTGTAAATAATAATAAAAATACATTGCAGCTACACAAAACTTTAAAAAAAAAACTGAAGGCTGCTGAGAAAATAATAATAATTATTAAATAATTACTGAATATGTTTACAATATACCAGCTTGTCAGCACAGAAGGCAAAAAAGCTAGCTATAACATATAATAAAAATAAACAATACTGATAAAATATAACTATAAAAATATAAGTATTTTCTCAGCAGCTGGAAATATTAAACATTTAAAACATTTGTCACCAACTGCTAAAGCACAAATAATAAATTACTTAAATAAAGTACCGTAAATAATAAAAGCACTGCAAAGAAATTTGCCTGTATAGTGCAAATAGCACAAATTACTAATAATCATCATCGTCATCATCATCATCATTTATTGTGGTTCTCCTATGCTATTTTTATAGTTTAATTTATTTATAGGGGGGTAGGGTCTGTTTAAATTTTTCAAAGACAAAAAAACTGAAGATTCCAGAAAAACAAATTCTTCAATTTTATAATCCCCTAATCAAAAAAAAAAAAAGAAAATTATATCTGTATTGATAAGATCTGTTTATAAAGCCAATGAGAAAAATAAAATATTGATGCGCAATTCTTTTTGTTTAATATCTGCCTAATTTTGTTACCATTACTGTTTATTTATCTGTGTATTTTATACTAACTATACTGTGTTGCATTTCAGTGATTAGATGTAGTTCAGATTTCTGATAGGTGGTAATTCTATTTAATACACACTTATCCTGTGTTTGTTAAACATGGCATTGTGTTACTTTCACAGTTTTATGATCGTGTGTCAGAGTGAAAGACAACCCTAGTCTTTGGTATTGATTGCAAATTGTAGTAACATACTTCATCCTGGGTTATTTGCAGACTGAATTGTGAGAGTTATTTTTACATTTGATGAATAGACCTCTTTTGGCTTAGGTGCACAATTAAGGCAATGTACACACCCATTCCTTAAGTAGATAGAGCTGAGATGGCATTTGGTGGCCTATAGAAGCCCGACTGAGAGTTGCTAGCTGGTTAGGTCCTGCTTGTAGGTAAGTGAAGTTGTGGGTTGCTTGGGAGAGAATTTGTGACTTCTTTAAGATGCATTGAACAGACAGTAAAAAAAATTTAAAAAAAGGATACCTTAGCTTATTAGCTTAACATTTAGTTAAGTCATATGTAGTTCTGATAGATCTAGAAATTATTATTTTTTATTCAAACGTTATTTCTATTTGTTTTTTTACACAGTTACACAAAATAATTTAAACAATAATAAACACACAAAAAAGGGAAAAAGGATATATCTAAGCTTTACGTATAACTTAAAATAGAACTCAAAGCTAGATTGTAGATATTGTGCAGCCTATAGTGTTGGGTTGATGGGATGACCTAAACGTTCATCATTAGATGACTTATAAGGGAGAAGTTAAAGATAAAAAGATGGAAATATAAAGTGAAAATTAATTTGATTTGAGTTCTACAAGCATGGGGCGGCTTGATAAAAGACCTTAAAGCAAGCAAGGGAGAACTGGAGAGCCTTTGGTTGTGTGAAGGGTGAAGTGGGGGTGCACTTAATTGATATGTATTGATATGTCTTAAATTCTAATTATTATCCTTTTCTTCTGTTTGTTAATTCAGGAAGCTGTTGTATATTTTTACCCTAAATCAGAAATAAAATGTAAGTATTAATACTTTATTATGAACAAGGGGCTAAATTAGGATGAGAACTATGCTTTTATTATTTTTATAGTTTAATTTATTTATGGGGGGGGGGAGGAGGGGAGGAGTCCGTTTTAATTTTTCAAAAACAAAAAACTGAGATTCCAGAAAAAAAAATCTACAATGTTATAATCCCCTAATCAAAAAATAAATTGATATATGTATTGCTAAGATGAGAAAAAAAAATATTGATGCCTTTGTCCAAAGATCTTCCAAATGCCCAATTCTATTTGTTTAATTTCAGCCTAATTTTATTATCATTACTATGTATTTATCTGTGTCTTCTATAATAGCTATGCTGTGTTGCATTTCAGTGATTAGATAGATGTAGTTGAGATTTCTGGTAATAGTATTTAATACACACTTATCCTGTGTTTATTAAACATGACAGAGTTCATTTTACAGTTTAGTTCTTTGATAGAGAGTTTCATATTCGTGTATCAGAGTGAAAGACAACCAAAGTCTATGGTATTGATTGCAAATTGTGGTAACATACATATATATGCATGTGGATCCAGCACTCACTCTCCCGGTGCATTGACAGAACTTTGTAAATAAATCTTGCAGTTTTATTGTGCAATTAGACACCAGAAAATGTGTTGATGGTTCAGTCCTCTATGGGACTTTTCTGAAAACTTGAGAAAAGTCCAATAGAGGACTGTGTGTAATCTAGTGCCGTGAAATATATGTATATATATATATATATATCATTGCCTAATAGTTAAGATTTCATTCCATGTAGTCTGAACACAGAATTATTATTATTATTGGCATTTATAAAGCACCAACATATTCCAAAGCGCTGTACAATTGGGAAAGACAGCGCAATAAGAACAGACCGATACAACAGGTAGAGGGCCCTGCACTTGAGCTTACAATCTAAAGGTTAAACTTGGGAGATGAGACAAGAGATAGCAGAGGAATTTGTTTGTTTTGGCAGAGAGAGAGTTAATATTATAACTGCAGCAGCTGATAGCATGTGAAAGAAATGAGGAGGTGATTGGCTGTAGTTCCAAACAGCTGATAGAGCATCCTATATCGTTAGGAGGAACCGGGGAGGGTAGGTGGGTAGAGCAGAGTAAAATTGAAAGGCCTTGTTGCAAGGATGGATGAAGATTTGGGGCTGAGGAAGAGAGATAAAACAGTTAATTAAAAAGAATGTTTGTATTTAATATATTTCTCTTGTTAAGTCCTTTTAATATTGCATTTCAGTTTATGCTTTGCACGCTATTTTAAAATACAAAGATATATTCTTTGAAAACCCAATCTTCATTATTCATGGAGTGTCCTTTGCAAGTTAAAATTAGGCTCCATAAATTAAAACAAAATAAATTTCACTCTACAGTGTTTCACCACTTGCCCTCTAGGTGGAACTTCAATCGCTGTTTAGGAGATTAACCCAAGCAGATTTTTAGAGATCCATAATCTCTTATTTTATAAAGATAATTGGGGTAGTACATAAGGAAATTTAGCAATATGTTCTAACAATATAGGGATCGCATTATAATATTTGAAATACTCTGGTCATAAACTGAATTAAGAATGGCAAACCTTAGTGTTCAATAGCCAAGCTAAGAAGGAGAATTTTTACAAATACAATTTTTTAGTCTCAATTTTGCAATCTGGATTTCATCTAACTGGATCTTTAGTTTAGAATGTAGAGCTAATCCTATAAGAGCCCACTATCCTCAAGTTAACAAACAAAGCAGAACTAACAGTTTAACTAAGAGAGACTTGACAAACAGCTTGCAACATTTAAACCTTAACAGCCGGGTGGGAGAATTTTTTTTTCTATTGCATAACTTGCTGGTTAACTTGATTTGTAAAGACTCACTGTTTTGCTGATAAAACTTTATACAAGAAATGACAAAATAGTAATGTGCATAGCTCTAAATTTGCCCATTGATTATCTGAAAATTATAAAGTAGACCCGCCAACATTAGAATCATAATCAGCATTAGAATCCTCTTCCTCCATAATCCTTTCTCTGCAGCAATAATGTATACACGGCAAAATAGCTATATTTATTTTATATGGGCTCCAGTTTAAATGCTTATATGTGTGTGTGCGCCCAAGATTTAAGAATTAATTCTCATAAGAATTAAAAAGGTTTCATCGGTTTTCTTAAAGAGAGTGCATCTATGCTTAATAAACTGTTCAATGTACTGCTGATGAGAATAAATTTGACTCGCTAACATTTTTTTGTACTCCAGTGTAAAGTAGAAATTAATTTAAGAAATGTGTATTTTGTAGACACCAGCAATCATGGGTGACGGGGAGATGGCCTGTTTCGGAGAGGCTGCCCAGTTTCTCCGTAAATCTGATAAAGAACGATTGGAAGCCCAGAATAGGCCATTCGATGCCAAGAACACCTGCTTCGTAGATGACCAAAAAGAGCTGTACGTGAAAGGTCTAGTCACAGCTCGTGAAGATGGCAAAATCACAGTGAAAACTGATGATGGAAGGGTAAATATAAAATTCTATTACTTATCATACCAGCTATTAATTACTGTGAATTGAGACCTTAACTGAGATATGCCTCTCTTTCTTCTAGACTGTAACTGTTAAAGACAGCCAAGTTTATCCTCAAAATCCCCCCAAGTATGACAAAATTGAAGATATGGCCATGATGACCCATTTGAATGAAGCCTCTGTGTTGTATAACCTCAAAGAACGTTACGCAGCATGGATGATCTACGTAAGTTGGGGCTCTTTCTCCACAGAACTACGAGAAAAACAGATTACGTAGATAGTGTGACCCCCCACTTAAACTATTTAAGGGAAATAATGAAACAAGAATGACATAGATATATCACAATGATACAACTTTACATCATTACCATGAAACATTTAAATAAAAAATGCTAATGTATATGTCATTTCTTCTGTATAGTATAATCCATGCCTGGAGTTCGAAATGGGCCTCCTAGATTTACTCAGTTCCCCTTACAATATATTAAAATAAATTATCAGCTTGACAGTAAAATATTTACGGATGCTTTATTGTGAAAAGGTGCTAAAAGTAGTCCTCTTATATATAAATTAATGATATTTGTTTTGTTGGCCGTTTAGACCTACTCTGGCCTTTTCTGCGTCACTGTGAATCCCTACAAGTGGCTCCCAGTGTACAACCCTGAGGTGGTTGCTGGCTACAGAGGGAAGAAACGTATGGAAGCCCCACCACACATCTTCTCCATCTCTGATAACGCTTATCAGTCCATGTTGACAGGTATCTGACCTTTTCTTCATGTTAACAGACTTAATTTATCAACACGTAATACTATGAATGTTCTATTAATCCACATCTCCTGTTTGCAGATCGTGTCAATCAGTCTGTCCTGATCACGTAAGTATTTATTGTCATTGTATCTTTCAAGTTCTAGTCATTTCTTCAGCTTTTCTAGACGTTCTATATTCTAATCTTCTTTATCCATAGTGGAGAATCTGGTGCCGGAAAGACTGTGAACACGAAACGTGTCATCCAGTATTTTGCAACAATTGCGGCTATTGGAGAGAAAGGCAAACAAAAGGAGCCAGCTAACAGCTTGAAGGTAATACAGCTATTGGGATTATTAATACATAGTTAAAGAACCAAAAGGCTCAAAGCATATCTAATCTGCTATACATTACTCTCTGTCCACTGGTGTCATGTTATTGAGAAGTCACTTTCTTGTCAGACATATATTCATATATAATTAGGTTAAAAACAAGTACAAAACCCTCTGTTAATCTCCATTAACAAATAATCCGCTGATCCAGAACAAGATGCAGAACATTTTCACTGTAGATTTAGTACATCTATGCATAATGCTATGTTTCTATCTACATGTGTAGGATAAGATATAAATGTGCAAATACAAATTTCATCAAATTAACAAGTTTTACTCCTGTATGACAGGGTACTCTGGAAGATCAAATCATTGAGGCTAACCCTCTGCTGGAAGCTTTCGGTAATGCCAAGACCGTGAGAAATGACAACTCCTCTCGTTTTGTAAGTTTTTGTTGGGCAATAGACATTTTCATGTTACCATCTATATGTTTCCCCATTTGTTAACCAAGCGTACTAAACTCTCACTGTGGTATTTAGGGTAAATTCATCAGAATTCACTTCGGCACCACCGGAAAACTGTCCTCAGCTGATATTGAAACATGTAAGGAATATATTGCAAATTAATTTATCTTTATTTATAAATGGGATATATCATATTTCTTATATTGGCTTTTATTTGAACAGATCTGCTGGAGAAATCCAGAGTTACCTTCCAGCTGTCTGCTGAAAGAAGCTACCATATCTTCTATCAGATCATGACAAACAAGAAACCAGAACTTGTTGGTAATTGAACAACATTTTTTTATTCTCCAATGAACACAGAACCTGGTTCTGCTTTGGTTCCATAATTATAGACAGACAGAATATAACTCAGACAGTTAAGACCTACTTACAATGTTGTAGAGATTGCATGTGTAATGTTTTATTTTTACACATGTGCAACACTTTTTTTCTTTAGAAACACTTCTGATCACAACCAACCCATACGACTTTCCTTCCATCAGCCAGGGTGAGATTGTTGTGAAGAGTATTAATGATGAAGATGAATTGATGGCTACTGATGTAAGTTCTGAAGTTGTTAGAGCAACAACATTGTAACTCTGTTCTGAATGCCGGTTTTTAATTTCAAACGTCCTTTCTCATCCTACAGAGTGCCATTGATGTCCTGGGTTTCACCGCAGAAGAAAAGATTGGTATCTACAAACTTACAGGAGCTGTCATGCACCATGGCAACCTGAAGTTCAAGCAAAAGCAGAGAGAGGAGCAGGCTGAGCCCGACGGCACTGAAGGTTTGTCTTTAGTGTTCAATGAAAAAAATCTCAGTACAACTGCTACGGATATAAATTAGAAACCTAATCTCTACTTAACCTAGATGAAACTGGTTTCCAATATATGTATACAATTATTTTATTTTGAACTTGTAGTTGCTGATAAAATTGCATATTTGATGGGTTTGAACTCTGCCGATATGCTGAAAGCTCTGTGCTACCCAAGAGTAAAGGTCGGCAATGAATATGTCACCAAAGGACAGACTGTCGCACAGGTAATTATGTTTCCAGTGTTCAGTTGATTATTGTTCAGGTGTCTGCAGTTCAGTACATAGGCTCACGCTATGTCTGTTCCATTCAGTGTAACAACGCAGTTGGTGCCCTGTGCAAGTCAGTGTATGAAAAGCTGTTCTTGTGGATGGTCATACGTATCAACCAACAGTTGGACACTAAGCAGCCAAGACAGTTCTTCATTGGTGTGCTGGATATCGCTGGTTTTGAAATCTTTGATGTAAGTAAACATTTATTTAAAACTATATTTTTATAACTTAAAACCAAGTACATTTTATTTAACCCCCTTCTATCGTCTACAGTTCAACAGCTTGGAGCAGCTCTGCATCAACTTCACCAATGAGAAGCTGCAGCAGTTCTTCAACCACCACATGTTCGTCCTGGAACAGGAAGAATACAAGAAGGAAGGCATTGATTGGGAGTTCATTGACTTTGGTATGGATCTGGCTGCCTGCATTGAACTCATTGAGAAGGTGGGTTCCAAAAATGAATCCAGGGAAGTTGTGCTGTGGAAACACAGGTTAACGATGTATGAAATTCTCACTGATATGTACATTTTCAGCCCATGGGCATCTTCTCAATCCTTGAAGAGGAGTGCATGTTCCCCAAAGCCACTGACACATCCTTCAAGAACAAACTGTATGAACAGCATCTTGGCAAGTGCAAGAACTTTGAGAAGCCCAAGCCTGCCAAAGGAAAGGCTGAAGCTCACTTCTCTCTGGTCCACTATGCTGGTACTGTGGACTACAATATCAGTGGCTGGCTGGACAAGAACAAGGATCCACTGAACGATTCTGTTGTTCAGCTTTACCAGAAGTCTTCAGTGAAACTGTTGTCCTTACTCTACTCCAGCTACTCAGCTACTGATGGTGGGTATTAAAAGATGTGTCATGCAATATTAGTGACTGCTTCCACATTATCGTTTATTAGTTTAACACATAACTCCCATTACTCTTAAACAATAGATGCTGCAAAGAGTGCTGGAAAGAAGAAGAAGGGAGGCTCCTTCCAGACTGTGTCTGCTTTGTTCAGAGTATGTACATTTTATATCGTTTACTTTACACAAATCTGGACATTTATCAGTATTCTTTTTTTTATAAGAAGTGTAGCTTTATTTCTACCCCACTTTAAGCATCAGACGTCACATTGAATTACATATTTTCCATATCTGTTTCAGGAAAATTTGAACAAGCTGATGAGCACCTTGAGAAGCACTCACCCTCACTTTGTGCGTTGTTTGATTCCTAATGAGTCCAAAACTCCAGGTAAATTTCCATTATGAATACACTTATATGATAAGAGAACAGTGTATTTCACTGTTGGGATATTGTCCACCTTAAACCATGACCAATTTTTAACTCAATCAGGTATCATGGAAAACCATCTGATTATCCACCAGTTGAGATGTAACGGTGTGTTGGAGGGAATCAGAATTTGCAGGAAAGGATTTCCCAGCAGAATCATCTATGCTGACTTCAAACAACGGTATATTTTATGTATTACTTTAAATAAATTGATAGATTAAATGAATAAGTATTTGTTTTACACGTATGTGCAAAAAAACAAACATTGTTTTTATAAAATGATACATTTGCCCTGAATTTAAACCTAAATTTGTTTTTTTAACTTTTATGAAGTTACAAAGTGTTGAATGCCAGCGTTATTCCAGACGGGCAGTTTGTTGACAGCAAGAAGGCTTCTGAGAAACTTCTGGGCTCCATTGATGTTGATCACACTCAGTACAAATTTGGCCACACCAAGGTATGAAGAGACTGAAACATTTAAGACTAACATATACAGTTGCAAGAAAAAGTATGTGAACCCTTTGGAATGATATGGATTTTGCACAAATTGGTCATAAAATGTGATCTGATCATCATCTAAGTCACATCAATAGACAATCACAGTCTGCTTAAACTAATAACACACAAAGAATGAAATGTTGCCATGTTTTTATTGAACACACCATGTAAACATTCAAAGTGCAGGTGGAAAAAGTATGTGAACCCTTGGATTTAATAACTAGTTGAACCTCCTTTGGCAGCAATAACTTCAACCAAACGTTTCCTGTAGTTGCCAAACGTTTCCTGTAGACGGCCACTCCTAGGGAGAGTGCTGAACCTTCTCCATTTATAGACAATTTGTCTTACCGTGGACTGATGAACAGCAAGGCTTTTAGAGATACTTTTATAACCCTTTCCAGCTTTATGCAAGTCAACAATTCTTAATTGTAGGTCTTCTGAGAGCTCTTTTGTGCGAGGCATCATTCACATCAGGCAATGCTTCTTGTGAAAAGCAAACCCAGAACTGGTGTGTGTTTTTTATAGGGCAGGGCAGCTGTAGCCAACACCTCCAATCTCATCTCATTGATTGGACTCCAGTTGGCTGACATCTCACTCCAATTAGCTCTTGGAGATGTCATTAGTCTAGGGGTTCACATACTTTTTCCACCTGCACTGTGAATGTTTACATGGTGTGTTCAATAAAAACATGGCAACATTTCCTTCTTTGTGTGTTCTTAGTTTAAGCAGACTGTGATTGTCTATTGTTGTGACGTAGATGATGATCCGATCACATTTTATGACCAATTTGTGCAGAAATCCATATCATTTCAAAGGGTTCACATACTTTTTCTTGCAACTGTATATTGGTGTTTTAGAGATTATTATAATGGTTTTCTCTCCTTTGCAGGTGTTCTTCAAAGCTGGTCTTCTGGGTACCCTGGAAGAGATGAGAGATGAAAAGTTGGCACAACTTATTACTCGCACTCAAGCTCTTTGCAGAGGTTTCTTGATGAGAACAGAGTTCAAGAAGATGATTGAGAGAAGGTAACATTTATGTAATATTCTCAGAAAAAGTGTTAATAAAGAACTTTGTGTTCGAATAAAGACTTACCTTCTGTAAATCTATTACACAGGGAAGCAATCTACATCATCCAGTACAATGTCAGGTCATTCATGAATGTCAAACACTGGCCTTGGATGAAACTGTACTTCAAGATCAAACCTCTCCTGCAGAGTGCTGAGACTGAGAAGGAGATGGCAAACATGAAGGAAGAGTTTGAGAAGACCAAGGAAGCTTTGGTAAAGTCAGAAGCCAAGAAGAAAGAACTGGAAGAGAAAATGGTTTCCCTACTTCAGGAGAAGAATGATTTGCTTCTGCAAGTTCAGTCGGTAAGAAGAAACAAATATAAACAGAGTATATCTAAACAATAAAGGCAAATTCAAATATTTGAAAAATGCATTATTTTTTTGAATACAGGAAGGTGAGACTCTGGCCGATGCAGAGGAAAGATGTGAAAGCCTCATCAAGAACAAAATCCAACTGGAATCTAAAATCAAGGAGATCACAGAGAGACTTGAAGATGAAGAGGAAAGTAATGCTGAACTTACTGCCAAGAAGAGGAAACTGGAGGATGAATGCTCTGAGCTGAAGAAAGATATTGATGATTTGGAGCTTACATTGGCCAAAGTAGAAAAGGAAAAACATGCTACAGAAAACAAGGTGCGAAGACTAATGAGGATAACCCTTTTGTTACTTAATGCTTAATAAGCTTGCATTATGTATTTTGAATCACAATTTCTGATTTACAATTAGGTTAAAAACCTCACTGAGGAACTCGCAGTCCTTGATGAGAATGTGTCCAAAGTTAGCAAGGAGAAGAAAGCCCTTCAAGAGGCTCACCAACAAACACTTGATGATCTGCAAGCTGAAGAGGACAAAGTCAACAGTTTGACAAAAGCCAAGACTAAGCTAGAACAGCAAGTAGATGATGTACGTACAAGTGGAAATGGAACATTATGTTCTAAAACATTGTCTTTCTATTGTCTTGTGACCATTGTAATATAACATGATTTCTCTCTTCTTATAGCTTGAAGGATCTCTAGAACAAGAAAAGAAACTCCGTCTTGATCTGGAGAGAGCCAAGAGGAAGCTTGAAGGTGACCTGAAGCTTTCCCAGGAAACAGTCATGGATCTTGAAAATGACAAACAGCAAACCGATGAAAAACTCAAGAAGTTCGTTTTTATTGCTAATGTTTGTGTTTCTTTGTTTTAAGAACTATTTGTCTAGAGCTGTTTAAAAAAAAAAATCATTTTCTGTAAACACACAGGAAAGACTTTGAAATTAGCCAGCTTCAATCAAAGATAGAAGATGAGCAGTCCCTGGGATCACAGTTGCAGAAGAAGATCAAGGAACTTCAGGTATGTTTGTGCAAGTCAGTTTCATAATGCAATGAGCTACATTGTATTTTTCCTACAACATTTACTTCTGGTGTTCTAGGCTCGTATTGAAGAACTTGAGGAGGAAATCGAAGCAGAACGTGCAGCTCGTGCCAAGGTTGAGAAACAGAGGGCTGATCTCTCCAGAGAACTTGAAGAGATCAGTGAGAGACTTGAAGAGGCCGGAGGTGCTACCTCTGCTCAAATTGAGCTGAACAAAAAGCGTGAAGCTGAGTTCCAGAAACTGAGACGTGACTTGGAGGAAGCTACCCTTCAGAATGAAGCTACTTCCTCTTCTCTGCGCAAGAAGCATGCTGACAGTGTTGCTGAACTTGGGGAACAAATTGATAACCTACAACGTGTCAAGCAGAAGCTGGAGAAAGAGAAGAGTGAGCTGAAAATGGAGATTGATGATCTCGCCAGCAATCTTGAAAATGTCTCCAAATCAAAGGTAAGTAAGTGGTTAGTTAGGAACACTTTTATTTTTACTGATCTATAATTGTGCCAGATATAAAATGACTAATTATTCTTCTAGGCAAACCTTGAAAAAGTGAACCGTGTGCTTGAAGACCAACTAAGTGAAGTGAAGGCAAGGGATGATGAACATCAACGTCTTCTCAATGACCTAACTACCCAAAGGGCCCGCTTCCAAACTGAGAATGGTAAGGAGAATAAAAAATGTAAGGATATTGAAAGATTGTGATTCAAACCAAACGAAACCCACATGAGTTGATTCAAGGGAATTGCAAATTATAAACCAACATAGCTTGCTTGGAAAAAATCATCAATATTCTGACAGCTTGGCTATTTAACCACCTGTCCACAATTCAGCTATAGCTCTTTGCCTAGCCAGTGCAATTTTAGCTGCAAATGTATTTTTGGCTTTTGTGAGTGGGTCCTGAGGTTTAGAGAAGAGTAAAGAAAAGAAAAGAATTTAGACAGGACATTAGAGATAAGACAAGATACAGCAGACCGGAAAGGCTGAATGTAGGCGCCCCACTTGCCAGAAGCCTTTCCAACATAGGTCAATAGGTTTTCAATGAATTTTAAAGAGTCTGTGAATGGTAAGGTACCCGCGTGGTAAAGTTCTATAAGCCTGTTACTGGTATGCCATGCACATAGTTAAGAAAGCAGTATCTTCCAAATATCAAAACTTTTAAAACTTAAAAGAACTACGTTGCAATTTCCCCATGACAAATATGGGATTTGAAGGTGAGAAGCTCAACCTATTTCCAAGTAGGTAGCCAGGGCTCCCCATTGTCAAGTCACATTAAATAGTAATATAGTTCAGAACATTGCTACATACAATATTGCTTAATGATGTTTGCAAAGCTTTGCATTAATTTTTGGTTCACTCTAGGTGAGCTCGCTCGCCAGCTTGAAGAGAGGGAATCTCTGGTTTCACAGCTCTCAAGAGGAAAGCAAGGCTTCACACAACAAGTAGAGGAACTCAAGAGACAACTTGAGGAGGAATCAAAGGTAAAACTATTAGGACTTCTGAATATGAATGTATTACAAATTCTTGATTATTTCTGGAGGATATCAGATCAACAGTCTATATCACCTGCTATGTAACATTAATTTTCAAACCTTCCCTTCTGTCATTTCATTGAATACATATTTTTTCAGGCTAAGAATGCCCTGGCTCACGCACTCCAATCATCCCGTCATGACAACGACTTGCTCCGTGAGCAATATGAGGAGGAACAAGAGGCCAAGGCTGAACTTCAGCGCTCTTTGTCCAAATCAAATGGTGAAGTTGCTCAATGGAGGACAAAATATGAAACTGATGCCATTCAGCGCACAGAGGAACTGGAAGAGGCCAAGTATGATCCCACTAAATAAACCCAATATAAACAATGTTATCACGTTTTGAATAATGTCCTTACATTCTACCATCAATGTCCTTACAGGAAGAAGCTTGCCCAGCGCTTGCAAGATGCTGAGGAACAGGTAGAGGCTGTGAACTCTAAATGTGCCTCCCTGGAAAAGACCAAGCAGAGACTACAGTCTGAGGTGGAAGACCTGATGGTGGATGTTGAGAGAGCCAACAGTGCAGCAGCTGCTCTAGACAAGAAGCAGAGGAACTTCGACAAGGTAGATATTGAAAACAAATTCCTAATTTTAATAACAAAAAAAATAATCTACAATATCAGCAAATAATAATTCTGTACTAATTTAATAGGTCCTGGTAGAATGGAAGCAGAAATACGAAGAGGGTCAGGCTGAGCTGGAGGCTGCTCAGAAAGAATCCCGTGGCCTGAGCACCGATATCTTCAAGCTGAAGAATGCTTATGAAGAGGCCTTGGAACAAGTTGAGACCTTGAAACGTGAAAACAAGAACTTGCAACGTAGGTTTATCTATATTACATTGGTTGCAGGATACATTGCTAACTTTTTAATAATTCTTCAACTTAATTTAAGCATATTTTCAAGTATTAGCATTAGTATAACTATACAGATGGCAACTAAAAACACATACACAAGAAGTGGAACTATGGTAGGGATAATTTCTGCAAATGACTGAACTATGTTGAGATTATATCAGACCTTTATGTCTCCTAAATCTCTTTCTATTGTAACTCTCCTGCAACTGTAGTATTTGTTTTACAACAAATCCCAACCTCACATATATTAATGCTGCTGAATTTCTGCTGAACTTACAATAAACTTAAATACCAGTCACTGGCAAAGTCTAAATACATATTTACTTTTGTAGAGGAGATCTCAGATCTCACTGAACAAATCGGTGAAACTGGTAAATCCATTAATGAACTGGAGAAGGCTAAGAAGCAAGTTGAGCAGGAAAAGAGCGACCTACAGGCTGCCCTGGAGGAAGCAGAGGTATGTGCCTGAAATAAATTAATAAAATATCTGCAACCAATATCGCCGTGTAAAGGGATACTTTTAAACAACCAATGATACATATATATTTCTAATAGGGATCTTTGGAACATGAAGAAGCCAAGATCCTACGTGTTCAGCTGGAACTGAACCAGATAAAATCTGAGGTGGACAGGAAAATTTCAGAGAAGGATGAAGAGATTGAACAGCTAAAGAGGAACTCCCAGAGAGCTGTTGATACCCTGCAGAGCACACTGGACTCTGAAATCAGAAGCAGGAATGATGCTCTGAGACTGAAGAAGAAGATGGAAGGAGACTTGAATGAACTTGAAATCCAGCTCAGCCATGCCAACCGCCAGGCTGCAGAGGCACAGAAGCAGCTCCGCAATGTGCAGGCCCAATTTAAGGTATTTCAGGAGTACCACACACATTAATATTAAGAATTTATTATTTTTACTCTAATGTTAGAGCAGTTGATTCTGAAAATGTGGTATCTAGCATATTGTCCATAATAGGTAACAGCTTGAACATATATTTTGATATTTCTTTAACAGGATACCCAGCTTCATCTGGATGATGCAGTAAGAGGACAGGAAGATCTGAAGGAACAGGTGGCCGTGATTGAACGTAGAACCAACCTGCTGCAGGCTGAACTTGAAGAGAACAGATCTGCTCTGGAACAGACAGAGAGATCTCGTAAGGCTGCAGAACAAGAGCTCCTGGATGCAAGTGAACGCGTCCAGCTTCTGCACTCACAGGTAAAATAAATACAATGGAAACAAATGAAATGAGCATTGACAGAATGTGCATAATTAGATGAAATATTAAATACACTATAATCTTCTCCACTTCAGAACACCAGCCTCATCGGCACCAAGAAGAAGCTTGAGTCTGACATTGCTCAACTCCAGAGCGAAGCTGAGGAAGCTGTCCAAGAATCAAGAAATGCTGAGGAGAAAGCCAAAAAGGCCATCACCGATGTATGTTTGTCCCGAATTTTCATGTTATAAGCAGATTGGTTTTTTTTAGTTAATTTTTTTTTGGGGGGGGGAGGTGGGGGTTTGCTGTTATTCACTGTCTTCTTGATTTTCTTCCAAAGGCTGCTCTTATGGCAGAGGAACTGAAGAAGGAGCAGGACACCAGCTCTCACTTGGAGAGAATGAAGAAGAACCTTGAGCAATCCGTGAAGGATCTGCAGCATCGTCTGGATGAAGCTGAGCAGCTAGCACTGAAGGGTGGCAAGAAGCAACTTCAGAAGCTTGAGTCCAGAGTACGTAGAAATCACTGGGTTGTGGTGAATGAGGTTGCATTTAGAAATTGCAAAATAATAATCTGTACTCTGCTGATGTGATCTCCAGGTTCGAGAACTAGAGAACGAACTGGATAATGAACAGAAGCGTGGAGTTGAGGCAATTAAAGGTGTGCGCAAATACGAGAGGAGAGTGAAGGAGCTATCTTACCAGGTAAAGAATTATTCTTCTGTGTATTAAAATGACACAGGTCATAAAGAAGAAATACATAAGTGTAGATTATATATATTACTTTAAAAAAAAAAATAATTACAAAAAATAATGCCATGATCTCTAGTAGACTCCGTAAAACAGTTTTTCTTCTTTTAGACTGAAGAAGACAGGAAAAATGTCCTGAGATTGCAGGATCTTGTGGACAAACTACAGCTGAAAGTAAAGGCCTACAAGAGACAAGCTGAGGAATCTGTAAGTACAAACCCAATGAGGTCTTGTTTGTAGCCAGCCAAAGTCCAGTTAGAATACCCTGTTTTTTTGTTTTTAAATACTTTGTTAATTTTCCCTCATCCATTCCCATGTCTCAGGAGGAACAAGCCAACGCTCACTTGGGTCGGTTCAGGAAGGTCCAGCATGAGCTGGAGGAAGCCGAGGAGAGAGCAGACATTGCTGAGTCTCAAGTGAACAAGCTCAGAGCTAAGAGCCGTGATGTTGGCAAGGTATAACAAAATTCTAAAATTTTTCTATCATGTTCAGTCTACGTTTAGTTATTGTTTTTCACTTTAAATGCCCTTTATGGATGAAATAGTATTCTCTAGCAAGCTTTTTAATGAAGGGGGACACAGTGGACACATTAAAATCTGTGTAAAGAGCTTGAATTATAGCTGCAGATTATTTCATTTAATGTATATATCTCATTCGTCTTACAGAAAGAAGGGCAGGAGTGAAGAAGCTTAAATAACTGAAGAGAGAGAAACTTGCAAAATGTGAATTTCTTTCTTCCAGCACCTTACCTCCCACCACATCCCCTACTTTACCCTAAATAAATTATATATTGAATTTCTAAATATGTTGTCATGCTACTTGCTTGAAATAGATTGATTATAACAATTATATTACATCTGTTCCTTCAGTAAGGTGTAAGCATCTTTATAATATCTGATTGATAAGCGTATAAACCACAGTTTAAAAAATATATATATATATTTTTTTTCCTTTAAAAAAATATTCATTAGCAATAGACATCAAAGGGGGACTGATGGTTTTTGAATATTATGCTTTCTTATTCCTTATATTTAGCAAATATAAATACACTTGTAAAGTCTGAAAAACAAAATTAAATGTAGGAATCCCTAACTCTTAATCCTGCAACTGAGCGACTCCATTTTACCTCCCTCTCAATCATTGTTATAAGCTCTGTCCTTTGTACCTGGCAGTCAGCACAGAAAAAAAGAGTCTAAATTGAAAAAAAAAAAAATGTCCTTTTGTCTAATTTACAATATTTGCTCTGGCCTAAAACTGGATTGGGATGTAATTTGCTAAATCTTTTCTATAGATTTAAAAAATATATATTTTATGCACTATTGCATATAAAAGGCTAACAAACATTAGAGCTGATTTTCAATGTTTTATTCAACAATGTAACTTTCAGTAGAGAGCGTTCCCCTTTAATTAGTCATGTGAACGACTTTCCAGTTCCACAAAGACATTTAAAGGGAAACTATAATGCCAGAAAAACAAAAGTTGCCTAAAGATCCATTAGTCCCTCTAGTTTGTCAAAAACTGCAATAATTACCATTGCAGGGTTTAGGGACCTGGACACTGCATCCAGATCACTTCGATGAGCTGAAATGGACTGGGTACCCATAGTGTCCCTGAAACAGCATGAAGTATATAATGATTACACTGGTTATATATCTATAAACAAAATGACACGTGTTTATAAGCTTGTTATAAAAATGCCACATTAATATAGATTGATTAAATTAAAATTGATATCATAAAGAATGACATTCATGTTGATTTCCTGTGTTGCTCAGAAATTTGTTGAAAATCAACTCTAATTTTTAAACAACCCTTTGAACTTTTGACCAGACAAAACTTAATTGTTCATAAAATCATTACTCTGTTCGAGCGCCAGCAGTGCCGAAATTGGCAAGTGGATATTCCAACATTTACCTTCAGCAATGGCTTGTTAAGTCCCACCTCTTAGAGACTTCTTTTTTTGATATTTATATAGTGCCAACTTAGTCCGTAGCATTGTACAATACAGGAGATACAGGCAAATAATGTAAACGTGCTGATACAAAAAGACAAGAAGACCTTGCCACCAAATTTATAATCTAGCAAATACAGTACTTTTATAAAAAATTGGGTAGCAAGATAACTTACGAGCTTACAATCTAAAGGTAATAGTGGGTAGTTGCGACATGAGGATGCAGGGGTATGTACAATCGTTAAATAGTTACGGTTAGAGGAAGCTGAGGGAACATCCTATAAGGAAAGGAGGAGCACGAATGGGTGGTGGGATTTAGGTAGCAAAAGTTTAGAAACATCTGCTTTTGCAGAGGGAAATCAAGGTGCAGGTCTGGATCTGGAGAAAGACGGAAGGCAAAGGAAGTTGAGAATCCACATGCTTTCCTGCAGAAAATGAGGGTGGGGCCGGGGGGATGTAGAGCATTTGGTGTGATATTGAAACATTTTGGCAAAAATATGAATAATGCATATGCATACAAAAAATTGAAGCATTAGTTTTAAAATATAAAGAAATAAAAAGTACCATGCATTGGCATACTAACAGATAGGCGGTCCACCCTGGGTGCCACTCATTAAAGGAGTGCCATTCAGGGTCGGACTGAGTGGAATTGTGGCCAGGAGGTGCGATCCCTGGGTAACCGTCAGGAGGAGCACTGCACATGCCTCCCTTCCTGCTGTTGACTGCATGTAGTGTGGCAGACCATGGTAGAGGATAGTCTGTATGCTTTACCCAGTACTGGGTACAAGAAACAGAGGCTCCTCCGTGGACCACCCGCTCAGCCACGCTACATGGAGAGAGGTGAGACTGAGCAGGCACAGGGGGAAGTGGTGGACAAAAGAAGGGAACAGGATGGGTGGGGGGACAAAGACACACAGAGGGGCAGAGATGGGCACAAAGACAAAAAGGGCCTAAGAGGGGCATAAAAGTCTCACAGGGGCTGGAGGGTACATAGAGACACACAGAAGGGCTGAGGGGACAAAGACACACCGAGCAGCTGGGAAGTACAAAGACACAGAGGAGCTGGGAAGCACAAAGACACACAGGGGGACTAGGAGGCACAAAGACACAGAGGGGCTGAGGGGGGACAGAGACACAGAAGGGCTGAGAGGGGACATAGACTAATTTACAGAGCAGAAGCCAATTAATTAATTTGTAACAAGGCCAGCATTACATATACAAGACCAGATAATAGCCAGAAACTTTTTACATTAATAATAGAAACTTTATTTCACATTAATATTAACACACAAGGGACATAGTCAGAAGAGTCAGTACAGCTTACATCCAGCACGTTTATTCCTTGTCCTGCCTGCAGTGTGAACTTAGATCTCACTCAGTCTCTCCTCTAAATGTGTTTACTTTTCAAAGCTGAAAAAAAAAAAAGAAAAAAAAGCCATCTCCTGAGATTTTTTAACATATTGCTTTTTTGGAATAATGATTTCACAAACGGCTGTATTTTTAATCAGCATATACTAATCTAAAATAAAATATGCACAACGAGCCCCAAACAATTACATTTTATTTCATCCATGGACCTGGAAAATATTTTTTTTTTAGATTGAAATTGTATGTCTCCCCCAGTGTCATGTTGGTTTGCTGGAACATAATGTTCATATAATTAAAAATAAATAAATAAATGAATAAATAACTACATTTAAAAAAATAATAATATATATATCACCCTTTTAGGTTTGAAACATCGATTATTTTATACACAGAAAGGATGAATTTATTGATTTTTTTTTTTAGGGAACTCTCCTTTAAATAAAAATAATTGTTTTTTTTAATAGGAAGAATAATTATGGACAAATTAAAAATCTTTTTTTGGTATTTCACTATTTAGCATGAATTAAGATGTCTGACCTTGCACACACTGCCTGTACATTCTTACAGCATGAGAAGAAAGCTTTGAAACAAACAGGAGAGATAAACGAGAACATTTATTTAAATAGTTATTTAAAACCCACTTTACTTCTTGTTGATGGCAACAAAAGGGTTAAAAACGTGGCGCTAAACCTTTTATTACATCATAGAAATATACAAATGTTTCACATTTGTCCATATAACAATTAAAACAAGTAAACCAATTCCCCTGGCCAATGGGGAACACTTTTTCAGAGTGTGTTTTTGGCAGAAAGAAAATTGCCAAGTCAAATCAGAAGTGAGTGATAAATGCACAGGGGAATAAGATTGTTGCTTTAACTGCAGATTCTCCCCCAACAGGAGAAGATGTCGTTTTCTTACACAGGAGACATGAGTGATGAAACAGAGCAGAAAAAGAAAAAACAGCCCCTAAAGTCTTAAACATAACCTTTATTATATCAAATAAAATCAATCAAGTCACCATTATGGTCTAACTTACCTAAATGCTCACCACCAACCTAAACATGACCCATTTGTTAGAATGAAACTTATGCAAACAATTGGAACCTAGAAACCCCGGTGCCTATACTAGTATTTAATCTAAATTACTAATGCACTTACCTGAACTGCTGCAGGCCTGTGCTTCAGTGGCAAATGGCTTGGCTGGCATTTGCTGGGTCTTCAGGTTAAGAGGCTGAACCCTAGCTGGGCCTTGTGTATGTGATGGACCGTTTACATCACCTAAGGGAGAGAGTTGGATCAGACCCTTGGTCACTAAAGGGGAAAACCAGTTTGGACTGGCATCAGCTCCAGGGGTCTTCACAAAGATTTTAACCCTATTGGCTGCAACTCTAAGGGAAGGAGGCGTATCTATAGTACCGTATCTAGACCATTGGTGCATCAAAGCAGAATCCAGAAGTCAACTTCAAGAAAATCTCTGTTACAATCCAACTTCTTGAGGATCATGGTTGGATTATACACAAAAAGAAGTCTTAACTTCATCCAACTGTAAAGACCCAATTTCTGGGTTTAATCGTAGACTTAAGACCCTTGTCTCTCTATCTTCCTCTACACAAATAAAAGAAGATAAAAAAGGAAATATATTTTCTTCAGCAAGAACCAGTGTGTACGGTATAAAAAGCCATGAGTATTCTGGGAACACTCACATCACCGATACCAGCGGTCAAATGGGCAAGATGAGACCATTTCAATGGGAAATTTGATCAATTTGGACAAAAAAGGAGGACGATCTAAATGTGGAGCTCAGTCTATCTTACTGGGCTTATGTGAAATGTTCAATCAGGGATATTTCTCCCAAACATTAAATTACAATTATTTACATAGTGCCAAAATATTAGTGAAGCTGTACAATATGTAAGCTAACACAAACATTCCAGACAAAACGTGTTTTAAAATACAGGAACGGTAGATGAAGAGGGACCTACCCAAAGAAGTTTACAATCTAAAAGTTTAGGATTTTCCTTGGACAGGTAAATCACACCTGGAGGAGTCCAGACATTGTGTAAACCAGCAGTTGGCTTGATTTGATCACACATGTAGGCCATAAATGCTATGGAGTGGAAATGGTAATTTAGCTTCTCTTATTAGGCTCTAGGCCTACGCAGCCCAAAATACCAAACTGCAGTCCAACATACTTCATGTCCACAGGTGTAGCGTTTGGGATATATGCATTTTGTAACTTCTGAAATCTATGTGCTATTATATATGCAAGTACATTTATAATTTTTATTTTCCTTCGGTGAATGCTCTATTTTGTTTCGGTTATATCACATTACCAATGTGTAGATATTTCTTGCGGCGTTCCTT